AGCCTGCAGCCACCTATTGATATTTTATTATTATCCTTTGAACGTGCCAGTGCTCGGTGTCGCCCAAGCCTTCCAACCCGTTTGTCATCTACGAGTACAGCATTCCTATCATACAGTATCATACCATACCAGACTTATTTATTATTATTCAGGCCTACCGTGAGGAGCCATCGGCCCAACCAGCCTTAACTACGCCAAGTTAGGTCTCCCGGTCTTTCGACCCACCTGGCCCGATTCCCGCCGGGCAGGGCCCACTTGGCAGCACCGGTTATGTGATATATTATGTATACAATACATCCTCTCCTCGTATACTGGTGCTACAGGCTTAGTATCAGAGATATACCTCAATAGATCTCTCCTCCATCCCAAATCTTCAATCCCCCCATTGAAACCTCCTCCTCCCCTCTTCACAAAGCTGGCGGGACGTGACATCGTGTATATATACAAGACGTCCCAGCGGCAGCGCTATTCCCAAGTCACCCTTACAAGTATGATAGGCAAGTCCTCTTGAGCAAGCACTTCAAGCAAGAAACCCAAAACTTGGTGATCCCGGCACATACCGTGCATGTATCTAGACATTGAAAAATTGGTGGTGGGAGGAGGGGGGAGAGCCGAGGTGTTTTCTGTCATGATACTTGATGTCTTTCCGGTGATATCTAACGACTCCCCCTCCCACATTGAACCCGATCTGCGTCTGCCATACCCCACCTTTACCAGTTTCGCACCCTACTACTACGGCAAATATCACCTCTCTAAAAAATTGTCCGAACGGTATGATAATATCGGTATCCCAACATAATCCAAACATGTAGTGTCCGATACCATCAATAGGGTAACATGCAATCGTGGGAGTGAGGTTCATGACAGAAACTCGAGTACTCTACCTCGTACCACGAAAAAAAAAAAAAAAAAACAATCCGGCACTGAACATGATAAGATGGCCTCTCCTGTTGTGGGAGCGCATGTCACTGAAATTCCCTGTTGCATTTTGGATTACCGGCAGGATGGTTAGGCAGATCATGCTGGGTTTTTTTTTGGCTACGAGTAGTAACAAGCGTGAATTGTTACGGTATCTGGGGGATGATGATACTGTGGAAGAGTCACATTGGATCCGCAAAGCTCTTATCCACGGCCCCCGGTGTTTACTGTTCGTTTAAAGTTCCAAACTCGATTCTCTTTTCCCCACTGCCCACACTGTGTCCTACACCCCCCCACCAAATATCTCATCTGTGGTCTGGGGATTCCTCTCCATGCTGCCCAGGCTAACGCCACTGGTGATTTTACGGTAAACTGCGGTACTGGATCGTGTGGTATTGTACTGTGTGATCTTGTCATTTAACTAATTTGGATTCTTGAAACGAGTGATAATTGATGAGTCCCGCCAAAAAAAAAAAAAAAAAAAAAACCTACTTCCCTAAAGCTCGCCGCACTAGTTTCACGGGTGGGATGGACAGCCATGCTATTCTCGGGACAGCTCAGGAGAAATTCTAGCACTGTAATTTACGAACCTCACTCCTGCTACATCTAATGAATGAAGAAACTAATAGCCTTAGAATCTATAGCTCTAAAATTGAAATTCGAAACACCAAATTACATTGCCACCTGGTCCCCTCTTCTCTCTCCAGTCCCGCCCCTCATACCTCCCCCAACCCGCCAACCAACCCCATGAGCCGAATATGCCTGTCTTTTATAATAGCTGAAATTTAGATAACGAATCACCAAGAAGCCCAAGAAAATGACATGCGATAGGGAAATGACATATAAGAATTAGAGAAAGGCTTCACAATGAATAAAGAAACTCCAGCCGTTCAAGTCAATTTCGTGTTCACGTGACGAGTAGGTGGATACACATGATCCGAGCTGGTGATGTTCAGCGCTGTGGAAACCTATATTACGCAGCCATTTGAGAGATCCTGTAGTTGACCTCTAATATCACTATTTTGCGTATGGTGGTGCCGCATGCGAGGCACCAGTTGGATACCTATTACCTCCATTCCCACCTTGGGGCGGATTTTGCCCCTGGGGCCCAGCATACTGTGGAGTGCCGATTGGCGGAGGTGCGGGCTTCCGACGCCCCTTAGTAGACTCTCTATTTAATAATCCCCGAACCTCTTCAATGTCCTCTTCCCGGCGACTGTCCACGCTCGGTCTTCCAATCGTCGCATTATCCCTTCTGCCATCGAAACTTGGCCTGGCATGACTATCGACGAAGGGTGAGGAGGTGTTGTGTCGAGGTGAGATGCCAAAGCTAAGGCCAACGGCAGGGCCAGCTTCGTTGCCCTTGTGTGAGCGGCGGTCCTCCTCCTCCTCACCATCTTTTTTGGAGTCCCAGCGAAGGGCCATTTTGGCCTCGTTACCCTTTTCCATGTATTCGTGTGCTTTGTCATCGCTGATTGCCACTGTGAACATTGGTTTAGCTTCCTCGCCAACGGCGGGGTCACCCAGTCCAACTCCATATATGGGTATCTTCTTGAGGATTCTGACGAGGGCACAGAAGAATTTATTGCGGCGCTGGCAGGTAAGTGCCTCATTGGACCAGTTGCTCTGTTGAAGCCTCGTCAGCATTGCTCATCCTCAACAAGTATTTCGCCGTTGTTGTTGCCAACCTTGTGCTTGATCTCCACCTTAATTTCCAGTTTATCGAGCTCGTTGATTCCGATAACCTCCACCTCAAGTTCCTGCTGGAAGTCCCTATTATTCTCCCGGACAAAGAGGAGCAGTTCCTCACGCAGTCTCAGGATGTCCTCGTGGCTTGTGTCATAGTTGACTCCAATCTTGACAAGTTCTTGCATGTACTTTGAACGCGAGATATTCTCAACCCATTTAGTGTTCAACACGTTGTTCGGGACCTGGGTGACTTTGTTGTTGTCCACTCGCTTGAAGACACTGTAGAGAAGGGAAATGTGCTCAACCTGGAACCTCTTGTCATCGATATCGACACGGTCACCAACATCGAATGGATCTACGACAGAACGTTAGAGTGTTGAAATTCAGACACGGGATTATGAATGACTTGCGCTTGACAAACAGGAAGATGCAAGATCCCAAGACTTCCTGGGCAGTAAGGGCGAAGACGAAGGACAGCGAAATAAGCACGGTACCAGCGCCAGCGATAGTAGTTCCGACGCTAGACTGCTGGGTGATAACAAACACCAGGACGACAATGACAAAGACAATAAAGGACAAAACACTGTCAAGTGCTCTGATGGCATTGTCCTATAACAGTTGGCAGACAATTAGTGATCTGCTCATACCTCCCGCCAACAGAACATTACTCACCACATCCTGCATACTCCTAGCAACATCATGGCGCTCGTTGTGCATATGGACAACATGCATCACCATTTCGTCCAAACTAACATCACCGTTGTTATCGCGATCGAGCGAAGAGAAGCACTCCAATGCTTGTTCCTCGTGATCGGGCCCCATGACCTCGAGCAAATCCTCCTTCGCCAAGGCGGTCTGGCCCTCGGAAACGAAGGACATCCAGATACGTCTGGCAAGAGCCTCTGAAGAACGGGTTCGCTGGAGAGCATTCACGACGATAGAATACGCAGCATTCGGGTTGAACACATTCTTATTACCGGTAACTTCCTGTGCCATGTTACCGAACGCGCTGGTAACCTTATCCTGCACAACATTAATGTTGCCCAGGATTGCACGCATGGGTGTTGCACTACCGCTCTGTTTGGGGATAATAAGGTTGGTAGCAAGGGACTGATGAATGATGTAATCCTCCTCGGCGAATTCGGTATAGGACGGGAAGAGATCTCTGGAAGCTTCATAGAGTTGGCTGAGGAATCTGACGTTTTCCTTGTTGGTCTTGATGCGTTGGGCGAACTGCTTGCGATGGTAATCGACGGAGACAATTTGGATAACAAGCTTTGCGCCGAGATAAACCAGGGATGAGACTAGGCAAGAGATAAGAACAAGGTTCATGCGGCGTTGCCATTCTTTAACGTCTGTATCACGGGCCCTGAGTTGGTCGGGGTTTCTCGTCATCAACTATCACTTGGTTAGCGCCCGTCCTTACACACCTACGCTTGGGTCTACTCACCGGAAGGAAAGAGCAGAGTGAGGCAATGGCCCAACCGACAAGCGAAATGGGAACCTCGAGAGCTTTGATAACCAGTGCATACTTCTTTACCCCACTACTGACCACACCAACAAGTGTCTGGAAGACAATGGGTAGAACTTTTGCAAATAATTTAGAAACCCAAAGTGAGCACCAGACAATCTCGAGCTATTCGTTCATTAGTCAAGCTTACCTCAGCCATCAAAGGGACGGATGTCCTACCCAAACAAAAAGCCAAACGATCCTAACCCCCTTCGTCCGCTCCGAAGCACCGATAGCCGCATCCTTAGCAACGTACATACCAATCAGGATAACCATAATAAAGCACAACGAAAGCGGAATTATGTATAGCAGATAACGGGTCAAGACTGAAAAGTTCAAAATCTTCTCATAAAGCCGCCCCATAACGGTCAACGCACCCTCGTCCTCCACAAGGGTCGCATCCCCACCAGTCTCCATCTTCCTTGCTCGGCGGCGGCCAATGTGTCTGTGAAAAATGCCAGCATCTTCAGTTGCGTCGGTCGCATTGCGGTTGAGGTCAGGGCGAGTCATGGATTGGCCCTCTTTCCTAGCACCAGTGCTCATGTTGGTCGTGACGGGCGTCAGAGGAATGTTGACTATGTGGTCGTCTTTGGCATTCTGAGCATTGGAGGCCGACAGGCCTCCTTGCTGCTGTTTGGATTGATTCATTGATTCAAGGGGGATGAACCCTGAGTTCCTCGGGGAGGAAATGGGGGACTTTGGCATCGAGTTGCTGATTTATCTACCAGTTGCGATATGTGATCCCGCTTCCGGGAGGTATCGGCAGCACAAACAATCCTTTTGATTGCTTCAGGGGAACCGGTTGGGGCGCTGCCGGAACGCCCTTTTCGGCAGAAGTGGTATTTTATTCGAGGAAGGCGATCTTCAACACGTGCCAGTAGTGGGGGATTAATTAATATTGAGAACGGCAGATTGACAATAGTAAAGATCCGAGTGAGTGAAATGACCAATATTATGACGACCGTGATTGACAAGGTTTTGTCGAGGTTCAAAAGTACTGCTCGAGAAAAAAGAGAGGGAAAGGCGAACGGTGATCAAACAGTTGCCTCGAGCATTCGATTGGTTGGATAAAGGAACGTTAAAGATTGGTTGTGCCCTGAAGGAGAATGGGTCACAAAGATATGATGCTTCGTCTTCCTCCCTTCACAGGCACGGAGGATAGAGGAGATGGAAGTTGAAGCGGAAGGGGAGAGGAGAAGGGAAGAAGGAAAGAAAGAAAGGAGAGGACGGGAGGAAAGGGACTGGAGTCACTCTACCCTTGGACTGGGTAGGGGAAAGGATTCAGACCAACTGGGGCAAAGATAATAAGATGCACGACCAATCATCAAACGCACAAGTAAAGGCAAAAAAAAAAAAAAAAAGCAATGACCTCTTCCCCAAACCCATGAAAGAAAAGCAAAAGCGATCAGGAGAAGGAAAGGAAAGGAAAGGAAAGCTTGGTGTGAGAATGGATCCGATCCTTCTGACTCTGCCACCCGCGCTGCAGGAAAAGACAAAGGGAACAAACAAATCAGCCAACCGTGAACTTGGCTCGCCACCAACCGACTAACCCAAATTACCGTACGAGTACCCAATTGCCAGTACAAGTACGGCACGATGGCACTCGTATCGTACTGCACGAGCACAGCATTATCCGTATACCAGCATGCTTGAAGCGGAAGGTGAGGATACCGGTACTTGCGGATAACCCCCTCTCCCAAAATGGCAGCCCATGGGGTTCCCCTGATTTTCTTCCAGGGTTGCTACCGTATTCTGCACCGCAGTGTGCGAGTGGCACTCTTACTGTCTATCAACCTTCATCATTCCAAGTATCATATCATACCAGTATTTGTAATCGGCAATGCGTGAGGAGTTAGGGCATTGCTGCCGTATCATAGCATTCTTCCCTCACATTTTTTCCTTTTCTTACCCTCCTTTCTTTCTTTCCCATTGTACTCGTACGGCATTGCTATACCTATAGATTATAGTACTATCGTATGTTACGGCCCTCAGACCCCCAATTCTTCCCTACCAGTACGGTAGACTTCACAATAGTGTGATGAGCCATGGGTCGGCTCAGTCAGGATACGGTACTCGAGAACTTTACCGTACTAGTACTCGTACTCGAGCAAGAGTGCCGGTATAGTACGCTACGGTATGGGTGGTCTTCCGAGACCGGAATTTACTTGACAGTAGACCCGGTTGTGAATGTGGCTGCAGGAGGAACGCAGGTCCCACTTTCTTGAAACGGGCAGCCGCACCCGTCCAACCGGAACCTACTGTACTGTCTCGTACTTGGACTACCGATACCTGTTGTCTTCGCTGGTAGGGTACCGGTACTCGAGTACTCGAGTATCTGAAGGTTTTGGTGGAAGCCCGCTCGGAATGGTTACCGGGTATGATACGGTACTGGCACCAGCACACTGCAACGAATACCGTGCTCATACCTACAGGACTATCGTCTAGTGCGGGTGAGTGAGAGGGACCCTCACAGAGAAAGGGGAACAAAGAGTGGGGCAGGGGGGTAGCCGGAAGGAAAGTGCGTACGTAAGCAGCCATGCTTGTAAGTTGTAGCCTCTGCATCTACGAGTAGACTACTGTACGGGTAGACTGCCGGCATGGGACTTTGTGGTTTCAGCTTCCTCCAGCGCGAATACAGAGCGCCAGGCGCAGGCACGCCGCACGCATGCCAACCCTCGCCCATGAGTTAACGTACTTGTACTGTACCGGTATGGTGCCGCCGCCACAAGTGCTCACATATACTCGAGTACTCGAGTACTCGTACACCCCTGGATTGCCAACCCGCACCATCAACCTCCTGCAAGCAGTCGCGGTTCGCGGCATCACCCAGGCATAATATGGTTCCGGTGCTCGAGTACGGTAGACCATCTCGAATCTCCTGATGCTCACCCGAACCTAACCAAGATCCATTAAAGCCCAAGCCAGATAGATCATCCACCCACTCAATCCGTCATCCTTCCCTCCTCATACTCGTACACACACAAAAACGAACGAAAGCAAAACCCACCCCCATGTCCACAGACCAACAACCCCCCTTCTCCTCCGAGCAAGGCACTGGTATGCTCCCTCGTGCCCAACTTCTAGCAGAAAATCTGCAGACAGTCCTCCGGCGCATCGACTCCCTCGCCCATTCTCCAAATTCGGTTTGTCCCATCTTCCCTTGCCCGCCCTTCCCGTAGAGGTCGACAGAGGTCCGTTCGGACTGCGTCTAACGCGACTGGTGGTCGGCTGGCTGACCGGTTAGCACATTTGCAGGTCCGGTTGGTGGCAGTATCAAAGTTGAAACCCGCTACCGATATTCTAGCGATACACGAGCGGACGGGGCACACGCATTTTGGGGAGAATTATTCGCAGGGTATGATATCCTTTCTACAATGCCGGATAGGGGCAATAGGTATGGGGGGTTGATGGGTCGTTAAACACAACAGAACTCCTGGAGAAGGCAGCTAGCTTGCCGACGGCTATAAATTGGCACTTCATCGGCGCCCTCCAAACGAACAAATGCAAGCACTTGGCTGAGAAGGTTCCAAACCTCTGGGCCGTCGAGTCCGTAGACACTGCCAAAAAGGCCGATGCCTTAGAAAAGGGCCGCGCTGCCTTACTCTCCACCTCCCCCTCCACCCCAAAACTCCGGGTCTATGTCCAAGTCAACACTTCCGGTTCTTCACCCCTACCTCTCTCATAACTAGTGGAGACAATGGGGCTAAGCTATCCTACAGGTGAAGAATCCAAATCTGGCTGCCAACCCACCGCGGCTTCAGCACTGGCAAAGCATATTCTTGCAGAGTGTAAGCATTTAACCTTGCAGGGATTGATGACCATCGGCGCTATCGCGAGATCCCAAGAGTCGGACACTCCGAACGAGGATTTCTTGACGCTAAAGAGGGTGAGGGATGAAGTTGCGAAGGAGGTTGGCATACACTCGGAAGAGCTGGAGTTGAGCATGGGGATGAGCGAGGATTTTGAGCAAGCGGTCGGTTTGGGTGCTTCGAACGTTCGGTATGATTTTTCCTCCCTTTCTCTCGGGTGCCGATGGGAAGATTACCGGGGAGGGGTCGCTAATTCTCACGATGCCTGTAGGGTCGGGACTACCATTTTTGGACAGAGACCACTGAAGAAGGATGCTGCTGTCAGAAGGGGTGAAGCGAGCGAGCTGACGGCTCAAACAGGCACACCTGGTCCAAGCTAAATTATCCCCCGAGCCCAAACGCCTAGAGCAGGGCATGCCGAGGACATAGCAGCACGCTCAATGTCCGCGCTTATAACCCCACCACCCGGGTGCACAAAATCCCTGGGATACTCACCGGGTTGAATTAGATAAACGAAAAAAGTTGAATGAAAATCCACAAAAAGTGAAAGGTAGATTAATTACATCGCAGGTTAACCTGCGGTCACCGCCGCTGCAACAAGCCCTCTCTTTCCCCCATCCCTGGAGCTGAGGCGCTGCACCGCGAATGAGTGAAATCCTTTGCCGTCCGCCGCCATCCCGAGTCACATGTTCGGGCGCCGCCCAATGAAATACCCACACACACACACACACAGAGCCCATTGCCAAAACATTAAACACATACCAGGAAAAATCTATATCAAAAGCAATCCCACCGTCCCAGCTCAACAAATTAATTGACTGGGGACGCTGCAAACGAGAAGGAGATGTAAAAACTGTTGGCAGCGCATCTAAATATTGCTGTCTCATTCCCCATTACTATGGTCCGGTGCCGGCGATCCCAACGATAGCCTGTCTTCCATGACCCTGAGCATTGGCGGAGGTACCTTCTCGTCCGTTGCTCGGATGGTGAGCCGGTACATCTGGGATATCGTTAGCTGTGACGCTGCGGAAGCGTGAATATGGGGCAGCAATACCTTAGTCTCCATATTTGGCTCCAGCCTCAAGAGACAACCAAACTTTCCACCAGTAGTGTGCAACACACTTGCCCCAACAAAATTCTTCTTGTTAGGATCCACGCCGTCCAGTACACCCCATCGGAAGCCCTCAAGGACCTTCCTGGTTCTCGATAGCTCAATCGTGTGGCCCTTGATCGCTACTCCGAATACCTTCTGGGCCTCACGGGCTCCCCCAATCTGCTTCCACCTCTTGAAAAAGTCCTCAGACGACAATTCCGCCGGCTCCATGAACTTTGTAAGGATCACAGGTAGTTTGAGTGTCAAAGCTTGTAATGCACCGGCAAGGTAAGAAATGCGTATTGTTGGCGCCTCGGGAAAGACGCCAGTACTCTCCAACATTAGGGTTTGTTGGATCTGGCTGTCCGCGGGGACAATAGGATCGGGCGTGTTTTGCGTGTTGATGGTTACCAGTCCAGGGGAGTTATTATTAATTGTACTTGTAAAAGATCCTATTGCTACGGAAGATTTGTTGGTGTAGTATAGGATCACACAACCCATGTTGGTGCGGTATTCCGAGCGCAGTCCGATTTGGATCTGCACGTCCTCGTACAAAACGCCTTCCGAACGAATGACCAGGCGGTTATAGCCAAGATGCCAGTCAGGGCTCAGGTGAGTGGTACTTGCGAGATTGATGGCTGCCTTTTTTGGGGGTTCGTCATTCAAATCTAAACCAGCAAGCTCCTGAGCCGGAGCGAGCGTTCCTGTTCTCGAAAGGCTTGGCAAGCTACCGTCAGCAGTAGTGGGAGTGGCAGCACCATTCGTGAAGGACCGCTTAAGCCCAGTGTTGAGAGTGAGGGCGAATTCCTTTTTGTCCGTGTTCGCATCCTTGCCCCCGATGACCCACGTTCGTTTATCGCTCGTCCCGGCATGTTTCTGGTGAAGTCGGGACAAGAGTGCCGATGTTCGCTCAGGAAATGGGGGCATCTCATCGCACACCGTACGCAGCAGATCATCGGACGGAAGCGATGCTAGCGCTAAGTACTCGCAAGCACGCTGCTGAAGCTCAGGGTCAAGTGTGTGGCTGTAAGCGTTGAATACTTGCATCAACTGGGGTTTTATTTCGGGAAACAAGTTGATGAATTTTATATAAGATGATAAAAGGATCGCTCGGGTGGCGGAGGAGCATCCGTTAAACTTTGACTGAAGGGCCATGAACTGTTCAATCGGGCTACAGCCCGGATTATCGGCAATCAAATGCCCAAATTCTCCCAACAAGTAGCCCCCAATCTTAACCAACGTTTCGTGACACTGCATGCCCTTTACATGTTGCAAGATATTCTGGGCGGCATACACTTGCAGCTCTTCATTGTTTGTGACAATCTGGATCACTCGTTGCCATACCTCATCGCTCACATGGTCGCCGGCCATGCTGATCAGCCTCAGTGAGATATCAACATACCACTGAAACTCGGTAGCATATTTCTCCGTGAGTATCGCGATTTTGAGTACCATTTCCTCCCGGATGGCAAAGTCGGCACTTTGCAGGTATTTTAACAATTCGGAGACAATGGGTTGAGAGTTGGTTGGGTCGCACATGCTATAAAGGAGATCCAGCGCCTTTCTTCGTACACTGATATCGCGATCCCGAAGGGAGGCTATGATTGTGCTCTGGTGTTTTTTTATAGGCTCTAGAGTCTCCGATCGAGCGGCAAGATGTGTCATTGCTTCAAGTCCCAGATATCGCACGTTGGTCTCCTTCGAAACAATAAACCTTCCTAAACGCACAGCAATCTGTGTCATGAGGCCCGTTTCCGAGTCTAGATGGATTGCAAGGTTGATAGCCTCGAACAGAACAGCGTTCTGTGCATTATTCTGCTGCACATTTTTCGGAGCATCGGAGGCCGTATCAAGGATTCTTTGTAAAGATTCCCGGATCATACTTTGTGTGTTTATGTCGTCTACTAGATGGTTTAGCTTGTGATGCCCGATACCATCTGAGAATAATACCTGATGGGGGGTAATATTGCAACAAGCGCAAGAGCTTGACCTGAATCCACGGGCATGGAACCTTGTAATAGACGTAATCGGGCGTATACTCATTATCGACAACCACCCGTTTTAACCTGTGCGCTGCCTTGATATAACTGCCCTTATACGCATCCGGGTTGTCCTGGACCAAGGCCATTACCAGGGAAGTGACCGAAAGAGCAACACCAAGATCAGGGTCATCCATCAGCGAGATTATTCGCTCCGCCCATTCGTTTTGGATGATGCCAGGGTATTTCCGGTAAAGCCGGAGAAGTGTTAAGGCTGCCTTCTTTTTGACGAATGATTTCGATGTCCTATTTCCCAAGTCAGATGAGGTAATGCGGTCTCGGCGGAGGGGGGAGATTACGGCGAGATCAACAATCGATGAACGTCAGGACTCAATGCCTCTCCCATCTCACGACCTCCGACATTTGCAATGGCATGCAGCGCCAGGCAGTTATTCAACTCATTGTGGTCCAGCAGATCCTTCTTTATGCTATTCACAACCAAATGCAGGAAATCGTGCTTCTCGTTGAGGAATAGAGTGACGGCCAGGTATCCGATCTGTTTCTCAGAGTACTTCGTAGCGGAGATCAGGTTGACAGCTTCCAAATGGCCGAAATCGACATTCCATCCAAGAATATAGATGTAGAGGAGCTAACAGGTCAGCACCGAGAACCGCCAAAGAGCTTACAAACATAGCACCCTACCTTGCAGACATATTTCTTCTTGTGATACCCATTCAAGTTACCGTCTTTTTAAAATACGTTAGCCACCGTCGCCATGCTCTGGATTCAATTGCCTGCCTTTGAATTTTTGCCTTGGGGGCCGTCAGTAACAGTTAGCAGAAGAGGGCAATCGTAGACTAACCGTATATTCGCCAGTTCTTTGTTTATCCGTTTCTCTTCCAGTTCTCTGGCTCGGGCATTCCGTAAATCGGCAATAAATTGCACCAAACCTAACCCCTATTCTTCAGCAGCAAACTCAGCAACGGTTGCCAGTGGAACGTACCGCGCATGGACGACATTTTGGCAGAGGCCCAACGAGCAGGAGACGGTCGCGATGGGGATACTGGAAATAGCTAGGGCAGCGAGGTTTTTGGGTTTGGGATGCTTCACTCGGATGACCGTGTCCAGCTCAGAAATTCTGTTTCGACTTTGAGTTTGGAGAAGGAGGCAACCTATGCTAGGTTATGACACCGAAACCAGATTCCAAAGATTTCCGGGGGCTGTATAGTAATTGCTTCGGGGAGAGTAGTTTTCTGCCTGGATCTCAATTACGTGGTTAGGGTATCGGATGGGGGGGGGGGGGGCGGCCACGAGATCGGCAGAAAGGTGGAGAGGAGGAGCAACATGCAACGTTTAGGATTGAAGTTTGAGGAGAGGGTAACTCAGGGAGCTAGGTATCAATCAGGGCTGGAGCTTTAGCGAACCACAGCGCACAGCTGGTGATGCCAGTAACTTAGCTGATGCAGGATTTCCCTTCATGAAGGAAGCAGCTTTGATCTTACTGGGGGCAATGCCAGATTTACACGCCCCTGCTTCAGCAAAGCAACCCCCCTTTTCCCTGCCGACGTTGCTTGTTTGAAGGGTATTGCCCACAATTCAAAGCAGGGTAACCATGATTTGGGGATAATCTGATTCCTGCAGCATGGGGAAGCTCAGAGACCTAAAAATTTCCATACAGCCTGCACGAATACCGTAAAATGCCCGACCCCGCACCCTAAGCAGACCTCCTCTTTCAACCCGGGGTGGCCACCACAACTAATTATATCATTTCCTTCCCTAGACAAAGAGTTCACTCGCACCGTTATCTCAAGAGAACGCCTCCTTAGCTGCAGTCGGCCGAGGGTCCCAAATGTACTCTTTAACAATATCCTCACAATACCTTCAATGACCGGATTTGCCCAAGTGTCGAGCTATCATACTAGTTAGATAGCTGCCGCAAGCTACGGCTAGACTATTCGAGTACATGCTAAACCAACCCCCCCCCCAAAAAAAAGAAAGAAAGAAAGAAAAGAAAAATAAATAAAAGTTAATGTCCGGCTACACCCTTCCTGTGAAGTCCACCTCTCCCTCTCTCAAGCCCACGTTCAGATTCTTCTCGCATGTGCCTAGAATAATCGATCAGTCTTCGCACCTCGACGTAACCTGTGGATAAATACTCACAGGCGTCTGCCCTCCTTAAACCACATTCACAACTATCTCCCGTGACAGTGTTCTCCTCGGCAGCCCTCTCGCATGTGCACTGTTTTGCTGGCCGTCTTACTGTGTCCAAGAGAAATATCAGTGAGTAAAGTGTAACTTCCAAAGAGGTTGGAGGCAGGGGCACTACAGCAGGAACACCGAGCGCCCTCAACTTTGTTCTCCTGCGGTGCACGCTCGCATGTGCAATTCAGAGCTTCTTTCTGGCCACAAGAGCATTTTGCTTGCTGAGCGCAGGTACAGTCTCCGCCAGTCTTCTTGCAACAGGTAGGTGGTGGGTTAACGACCATTTTGAACGCCTCGGAATGTCGAGATCGATTGGGAGCAGAGGTACAGTGGTTTCTTGGTTGAAGGGGTGAAGAGAAAGATTCCACGAGTAAATTTGTGGTGAAATATTCTCGTGCATTAAGGTGGGGCCCCTCGACTTTATATCATATCATACCCGGAATCCGGAAAGATCTCACATCTATTGCCTGACGGGTTGATTCCAAATCCGTTTCCTGATCTTAGGTTTTGCGGGAGTTGCTTTGAAATGGGCCGCATATTATTGGCCGTATTACCCAGGGGCTGTTTAGCACCAGAGCAAACTCTCCAATGGCGGGCCCTAGAACTACCATATCCAAACTTGGTCATTGGCCAGTTTCCCAGCCATAGTTTCACAATCATGCTTTGCTATTGTGCCGAATGGCTCCTCCAAGGTCTTGCCCGTTTGGTGATAGACTAGCTCCTTGTTGGTTCAATAGTTCCCGAGTGAGCATTCATGGAGCACCTGATTGATCAACGGTTTTTTTGGCAGGGCTATCGGGAAGGGTTTTCAAAGCTAGCTTACTGCTGGTATGATATGGTTCGTGCGGACCAAAATGTGCCAACAATTCTCAAATTCTGTTGCGTCAACAACCACACAACTATTTTTTCAGAAACAAAGGACCCAGGTACCGTAGAGGTAATGAAGGAGAATAACACCTGGGGTTTTGTCTCTCAATTAGAGTTTTGACTGGTTGCGCAATAGGATTTCAAAAGTTGGATTTTTGGTGGAAAAGATGAAAATGTTGTTATGATACCAGAACCGCCACACTCTAATTGCTTATTAATCAGCAATTTAAAACATAGGAAGTAGGTTTTTTGTATATTTAAAGTTAGAACCTAATTTTTTATTGAACGATTAAAAACTAGCCATCATTGTTAAATAACAGCTACTAGCAACACGCCACCACACCAAGACTATCAAAGCGACTAATTTGTAGAGTAAAGCAATCAGTATCTACTGTACAGCTATAAATTACCCTCTAACGGTCCCAACAAATCCAAATCCCACTATCCTAAAACGAATAACATCTCAAAGATCATCATCATCAAAAACCTCAAATTCACCCCCTGGAACTCTCCCAAATATCCACCAAATATAGTCTTTTTTTTTTTTCTTCTCCAGACCTCTCACCAGTACCAATGGCAAATGTTTCTCATTCGATCAACGGATAAGTATATGAAAATTTCCTATTACCCCCCCCCCCCTCCCCTTCCCTACTCTGCTGAATATTATTATTCTTAGGACTTGTGTTGCCAACCCAATTCAATAATGGTCCGGTGCTGCTGGGGGCCTTACGGAGAACCTATATCATACTTTGCCAATACCGGATATCCGCTGTTATCATCGTCGCAGCTCATCCCCAACCCCCCCCCCCCCCAATCTATGCTCCTTCCCGCTCGGCGGAATGGTGCGTTAATCTATCGATGTTGGCAATTGATCGGAAACTTGTGAAAATAACGGCTGCCATTGCTTACAGCCAAAATTCAGTACCATCCGTTTTGTTTTTTTCTTCCTTTTTTTAAAAAAATTTTTGAGTCCGGTCTTAACGTCGTGTGATAGCTAGACTACTGGTGGTGTTCAACAACGTCGTTGAGCTACAGTACAATACGGTACCGTACGATACGAATTTATTGTCATATGCTCAGACACCCACCTAAATTACATCTATGATAGCCATCCCCCACGTCCCGCTGCCCCCATCCCAAACACACAAAAAAAAAAAAACACAAAACAAATGCCTCATTATGATACGGTACCTTCACGGTCTGCCGCAACCCACACTTTCCCTTGGGCGGCGCCTGGCGTTTTTCTTACCCTCCCAGAAACCGGCCAATGATACACCGCCCATTTCACCAACAACCTCATCCACTGACTCCTTTAGGGCACGTACATCTCGACACCGCCAAGGCTATGATGGAAATTTGCTAACTTATTCCTTCCTTTTCCCTTCGGAAAGGTCCATCCCGCGCCGTGAGGAGGAGGCTTTCCAGCGACTGGCTCTTTCCGGCCGCTGTGGTTTGCGCTGAGGGGGGGGGAGTAGTTGTACTACCGTAGGAGCACACAGCAAATAGCTTCCAAATAGACTACCGGTATGTGCCCAGCGGGGGGGCATTGCACGGACGGAAGGGGATCTACCCATGTGGGCGATGGACCCCGTTTAGCCCCATCCTCTCAACTACCGTACCGCAGTAGTCCGTAAATCAAGAACTCGACATGATCGGACCATGTGCCGGGACGTTGGACTCATGATACCTCTCCCAGTATGTAACGTCTGGCATTTTATTATTATTTTCGGTGTATTCCGACCCATTCCCAGAGGAGGAAATCAGTAACTTAAGAGTACAGTACATAGCACATGGTCCGCTTATTCGAGTTCTTATGATACGACACATGCAATCCGCTACCCGCCCAACACGTCCGATAGATAAATTAACAATCATGTCCTATCACGCACACAGCTCCTCGCATTATTAAGAACTTCCACAATCGTAGCCGGGCAGACCTGCATTCCTTCACTACCCACCCCTGCGCCACGCCCAACCTTGACGACTGAGAGCTGTATGCCTATGATAATAATTCTCCCCACGGTTGAAATCACGGTATGTGGAGGTTGTAGGTGGGATCGTCCAGTGCGGAGAGGGCGGGCGAGAAACTGTCTTTTTGTCGGGAAAAAAGCCGGGGGCGTTGATGGGAAGTTCTGGGTGGGGGTATATCAGGTGGAGATTAGGTACCGGTATCGGGTAGTGGATGTTGGAGGTATCATACTCGAGTACAGTACTCGAGTAGGCATAGGGTTATTAAGAATTATATTGGGCCTGGCCAATGGATTTTGGTTTACTATCACTCGTGGGTCTTCACCATCAGCAATTTACCGAATGGTAGACGGACCCGGGCAAGCGATATGATATCTCCAAAATCACGTGAAAGTGGGGTTCCTATATCTTCGCGTTTCCAGAGCGTTGGACGTCTTACCCGCCCGCCCATCGATCCATCAACAGCCGCCGCCGGTATCCATCTCACCATTGCCCCACCACTCCTATCGCACCCCTCCCCTGTCTCTCCTCTGCCCACTGCCCCACCAGAATGACAATCCCAAACCCCGTAATAATCCTAACCGGCGGCTCCCGAGGTGTGATATGATGTCCCCCAGCTCCCACTATCACTACCTTCTAACCGTCACCCCCCAGGAACTGGCCTAGCAATAACAACCTACCTCTTAACCACAACACCCGCGCACATCCTAAACATCTCCCGCACCACTCCACCACCCCTCCAACACCTTCAACTCTCCTACCCAGACACCTTCCGCCACCTCCCCGTCGACCTCTCCAGCCCCACGACCGCCCAGCAGGTGATTGAAACAGCACTGAACACTTGGGGCCGCATAGACTCCCTCATAATCAACCACGGCGTGCTCGACCCCGTTGCGAAAATTGCCGACGCAAGCGTCGGAGAGTGGGAGCGAGCATTCCGGACGAACTTTTTTGCGGCAGTGGGGTTGGTTAGTGCTGCGTTGCCCGCGTTGAGAAAGAGGGAAGGGCGAGTGGTGTTTGTAAGTTCCGGAGCGGCCGTTACGGGCTATCAGGGCTGGGGGGCATATGGCGCTAGTAAAGCTGCCCTGAATCATTTCTGTGTTACGCTTGCGGCGGAGGAAGGAGGGGTAATTGCTGTTTCTGTTAGGCCAGGAGTGATCGGTTTGTCTGATGTCTTCTTCCGCGCTGCCTGCATCGTGGGCTGGACTGATGGACTGGATGGGTAGACACGCAGATGCAAGAGGATATCCGCGAAAAGCATGGCGAAGGGATGGGCGCTAGTCACGAGCGGTTTTTGAAGTTGAAGGAGGAAGGAAAGTTATTGAGGCCCGAGCAGCCGGGGAATGTCATAGCTAGGTTGGCGCTGGAGGCCGAACCCGGTCTCTCAGGGAAATTCCTCAAGTATCACGCCATCAACCACTCCTCTCCTCTCCATTGTCTGCGACGGAACTGACAAATCACAGTTGGAATGACGAGCAACTGGCCAAATACCAGGATAAAACTTAGATTGGACTAAACCGCCTTCAACAGTATTTACACACATATGTATATTATCCAACTCGTCGGCCAACCCCTGTTCCTGGCAGTACCGTATTCATCATGAACACTGGTGCGAGTATCTGGGAAGGAAAAAGCCTAAAATCTCCTGGAACATCAGCAACACATCCGGTACCACTGCCCCATCAAAAAAACAGAAAGAAAAAAAAAAAACAATAAGGCAAAGGCAAATCAGTCGAAAGATGAAAAGTCAAAACGGTTGTATCATTCACAAAGCCGAAGCTCTCCGCATTAGCATGGAGTTTCGTTCATCATCTAAGCCCTCCCTCTCGCGTCCCGCAACGTAAAATAAGTAGAAGGAAGAAAAAAGGTCTCACCATTAATACACCCATTACCCGGTACACCCCGCATCAAGCAGGTAACCTCCAAACCGCACCCAAGCAAGGTCGGTGAGCCATCCAGCCCGACTCCGCCAATCTCCATTCTCATCGCAGCCGGCGCTCTGTAGAGATAGTGCTGTATCAGGAGATCCCCTGTCACATCAGGTAATCGAACCAATTCTCTCCGCACGCGGTAATTGACGCGCAGGATCACGCTTGCCGCAATACCCATATCATGATTACGACTCCTCTCCCTTTCCCTCCGCCTTATCCGCTTCTCGCGTGATCAGAAATACGAAGTCAAAGGATCCAAAACATGCCGAGTATCCCGTTCCCATCGACCATCGAGAAGCTAAGTAAAATTCTTCATCGGGTTAGTCAACAGAAACAGAGACCACACGAGGATGAATTGCGAAATCGCAGACGAAAAAAAGGAAGAGATAAATCAGATATCGTCCGTTTGGCATAGGACAGGTGTGTAAGTCACCACCAAGAAAAAACGAGTTTCTTGTCGTGATAGGGGCGACACGAATGGCTCATCATGTATTATATTGTATACTCCTGCCTACCTCCCAACTGGGGAAGAGGAAGGAAGAAGAAAAGAAGAAAAAAAAGGAAAGGGTTGTAGAGTGAGGTGCACTCACCAGTTTTTTTCTTTCCATGTTCGGTGTTGAAAATATTTTTGATATGATATTCTGCCGGTGGAGATGAGGAGGGTTGGGTTATATTTAAGTAAGTCTTGGACAATGAGATTGTCGGCAAAAAAAAACAAAAAAACAACTTTTTGCTTGGCATCGGTGGTATTAGCCATAGGGCTGGGGTTAGAACTGATTGAGCCGCATGACGAAAAGTCGGAAGAATGGAAGGGGTTTTGAGGGTTCGATGAGCTGGGTTATCATGATAGTCTATCATCTGTCGGTAAGTTAGTTTTACGAGACATCATACCGTCCCAGCACGAGCAGCCCACGGAACCAATGCCAACATTCACCTCAAAAAGATACCACCCCTCAACCCTCCAAAACACCATCGGCGCGCGCTACCGACGCGGCCTCTCCCGCCACCCGTTCCTACTCTTCGGCCTGCCCTTCATCGGTACCATCCTCGCCGGCAGCTTCTTCCTGGCTCCCGTCACGGCGCTGCGGTACGAGCGCCACGACCGCAAGGTCCAGCGCCTCAGCCAGGAGGAGGCCATGGGGGTAGGGCGGAATAAGCGGAAGGTGGATATGAATGAGGAGTATTATGTATGTTTGCACCCTTTCCCTTTGTTTTCGCGCGCGCGCGCGCTGGTACGAAATGGATTGGGGGGAGGGGGGGGGGCGGGCTGACATGTTTGCTGGTGGCGGGGGGGGGGGGTTTATAGAGGCTTTCCGCGAAGGATTTGGATAATTGGGAGCAAAAGAGGATTAAGAGGTTTGAGGGGGAGCCGGATGGGGTTTTGTGAGTTTGGGAGGGGAGGGGGGATGCTCGTGGTCTTGTTACCCTTTTCCCTTTAGTGTTTGGGATACAAATACGATCACCTTGGTTAACACATTCGTACGGCCACTGCTGGTGGTATTCAAAGTTGAAGAGATGATCCTTCACCCCAGTGAGCAAATGCCGGAAGTTGTGTGGGGTTACTCTCTGGTATTAGCCAATAAGCATCCTCATGTTTTGGGTATCATGTTTGAATGTCCCAAGGTGACTGAAGGTAAAATACTGAAGTTATGATGGATCTTACAGAGATCACAAGAATCCTGTATTTGTCACCAAAATTTCAAAGGTCAAGATATTTTTGCTGGTAAGAGTGCATAATTATTTCCAAAGTGCGCTATAAGATTTCGGGATTGTTTTGTTCGGTTCCCTAAGTTTTTTCTCTTCACACCGTGTACCACTTCAGAGATCTAACTTAGTAGATATACTGGTATGTTGAGCTATGGCCCTGCACCAGGTGCTCGAACACTCGAGTAGTCTAGATTACAGGTCTCTAGATCTTCATACCTACTAGAAAAAAAGGATGGAAAGGTGAAGTTAAGTAGCAGTAGGTTAACCCCTTCTACACATGCCAAGTGTACATGAAACAGCAAAGTGAGCCAAGCTTCTGCTACCGGTATGTTTTTAGCCTTGAATGCCACTTGCATACTGGTACTGGAGAATACGATACGAGCAGAATGATATATTAAGGAAAAGTAATAATTTGGTATTCACATGCGTGTTGGCAGGCAGTAAAGCGACGCCACCACCCATAGCGCTAGTAGCTAACCGCAAAACGAGGCAACCCAAACCAGCACATCATTAGACTATAACTTATCTAGCATCAGGTGCGGAAGCAATTGGAGTTTCTAGAGAATGAAAAAAGAAGAGAGAGCGAGAGAGAGAGAGAGAGAAATACTAACACAGTTACCATTAACCGCTAGGAGTATATCTATCAATTGCGAAGAGGGGAAAGAAAACATCGGGAAAAGCTTTAAAACCAAGATCCAGTAAGGGAGTGGGTAATGGGGGCTAAAAAAACAGTCAATCAATCAATGGATATTACAGCGAAGAATGGTTTTTGTTGTCTGGTTAATGCGAGTGTGTGTGCGCAAGGAGTGCTAAGATATGTAGGGGAGCGAGCGAGCTAGAATAAATCCGAAGGGATATTGCTAGATCCATAGCCCTTGGATCCGGCCCCCACAATTACTCTTCCGGTCTGAATGTTCTTCGCAAAAGAGCTGAAGTAAAAACCCATCATGACTGTGAGGTAGCTCAGGAGCAAGATGGACCCCTAAGGAACAAATAAAATCAGCACTCACTCTGCACACCGCACCACAAGACTTCTTTGCACAAACCTTAAAGTAATTACTCTTCCCTTCGCCATACATGTATGACAACAAGAATACGCAGAGAATAACAGTAATCACGTCCCACTGAGGGAATATCAATGTAAAGGTATTTCTCACGAGATCCATCGGTGCGGCTTCCAAGGCAAAGAAGGCACTAAAGAACACCAGAGCGGGGATCTGAAGCAAGCATACTTGGAGGGCATAGGCGGAGCCAATTTCCATACTAAGGGCAATATTACCGTTCATTGCAAATGAGATTGCATTCTGCACTGCATTAGCGACCGGAAAAAGAGTAAGAGATGAGTGGAAGGGCTTGCCAAAAACTCAGTGGTGTTCGGCACGAGAGCAAACAACGTCATTCCGAGGAATTTCTCGTCAATATCGAGATTCTCCAGTACCACGTCCACCGTATCAACCAGAATCTCTGCGATTACAGCATACAGCACTGTGGCTCCAAGAAGGATAATGGAACTCTTAGCCCGACTCCAATTCGGTGCATCATGGCCCCCATGCTCAGCATCCGGAACAGCGGCAAGATCTTCTTCAACCGCAGGTACGGGATGCAGTGGCGGCCTGGCAGGTGCAGTGGAACTCTTTCTTCCCATCCCATGACGCTGAAAGTTTTGATAAGCAACGGTGGTTGTCACTGCAGCTATTTCTGCCACGCCGCGGACGAACTCGGCATTGTCCTCAGTGAATGGCCCGTGAGATCCAGGCGTATCGCGCGAGCCGGCGGCAGTGGAAGGTGTCATAAAATCATCTGCCGAGCGCGGTGGAACCACATGCAGTGTTGACCCTCGGTCGCGCGAGTGAGCAGAACCTCCAGCACCATCTACCCTGAGCCCAAAGTCGTCCAAGGATTGCCCCAAGATCCGCTTAAACATCACGTTATCCCGAAGCGAACCAGAAGCCGGTATTCCAGCCGTTGTCCCATAGTTCTGTTGATTGCCAACGCCATCGTGACCTCGTGACGAGGGCCCTCGAACAGGCTCCGCGGCGGAAGGATGGGCGGGTTGTGCAGGGGTCTGGGCCGGAGGAATGGAATGCCAAATGACGGCGGCGTGAGTCCTGAGGGTGAACCAAAGCCCAATCACATAGGATATAAACAAGAAAACTGCGGCTATGTAGGTATACGGCCGCACCGCATCTCTATAAAACTCGTTGCTCAGACTGGGGGGTGTCTGGACAAAAAAGCACCGACGACAATCTGCATGATGAGGATCCTTCTCAGGATGACATGCTCGACAAGCCAGTTCATACTGTGCTTTCAATCAGTAATCATAGACAAGAGGGAGGGTAGGGAGCACTCACGGTCCCATATATTTGATAAAATAGGGTTGGTGCGAACACTCCGATCACAGCAAAAAGAAGCATAGTAGAGGTGACGCCAGCAGACTTGGCATTGAATCGCTGAGTCTTTCGTTTGATAGCACCCGAACACATGCTAAGCCCGGGCATGAAGACGACACCCGCAAGGATACTACCAAGTACGCTTCCCTCAACCAGCCTCCCCTTCCCCTCTTTCAAAGCAACACAATAGAGGTATACTTCAACAATAGTGGAGAAGAAGGCATTAATCGTAGCACCCATTCCCATACTAGACTGTGCGGAAATCGAAGCCACGGCCTGCCCAATGAAGTATGCCAGAGGGATCACGGAGCATAAACTCAAAGTGAAGACCGTCGCCGGGGTTGTTAACAAAGTATCCCGGCCCAACGCCTTACTCAGAGCATAGTGATCGGCTATGACGAAGAACACCACAGTCATTAAGTTGATGAAAAAGATGTTTGTTCCATCGATGGTATACTTATAGTACTTCCAGCCCACAGCGCGATACGTGCAGAGCAGGATTGAGGTAGAAGGTGTCCCGGGCCTCCTACTATACGTATGATCCGAATGAAAGGATAGCGCCAGCGGATGCCGACGGAGATGATCGCACAAAAGTGCGGTAACCTTGGCCATCGGGATCGTAAAAACAAGGAACCAACAAAGGAAAGAGGCAAACAACAATAGAGGAGCTGTATGTCAAACGTATTAGCACCCACAAACAAACCTAGAGGGGAATAACTACCGATGATGAAATAAAACCAGATGAAAAAAAGCACTCTTCCAACATTCCATTGCCCACGGCCAAACAATCTCCGTTTCTTCCTTTGTGATTGGAAGCCTCCCAAGAGTCCCGTTCTCTCGCCAGCGTCCAGAACCGAATCGCTCACGGAATCGAGACTCTCCCGTCTGCGACCCACAAGAGTTCTGGGCGTATGCGGCCCAAAGAACGTCTGACCCTCCTCAATATCACCAGCCTGCCATTGCTCATATTCGCTGATGCTCCTGCCTTCGCCCTCGTCCTCTTCCGCATATGCTTCCTCTTGCTTAAGTTCTACAAAACGACCAAATGGATACCACAGATATCCGGCGAGACCAAGAAGAACCCTTCCATACTCCCTAGCGCTATAGGTGAAAAAGAACAAGTAGCAAGTTATCGCGGCTATCAGGGAAGCCAGCGCAAGCCACCATCCGAAGAGCAAAACCCAAAGGATGTTTACCAGGAACAGAGCATTGCCCACCCTTCCGCCGGGCGCTGAATGGATATCTCCTTCCGCCGTCCTTTGCACCGAACGGTTCTTTTTGTACAGTGCGGGCTTCCATATCCTGATACCGAAGGGATGGGTAACGTTGATTGCTTCTTGACGGTCCTTGAAACTAGTTAGATGCCTCTCAGGAAATAGCCCGCCTCTACTTACTTTCAGAGTAAATGATTCCACGCTGCCAGCATCGCTGGCTTGGTAAGTTTCTCCTCTCACAGTGCCTTCTTCACCATCTTCCTCTTCTTCTGTCTCTTGCTCCTCGTCTGGCGAGTCATCCCGTTGAGGCGCAGGCTCACCATCCATGCTGCCGGCATCCGAAAGTATTGTTTGCGGAGCGGATCTTCGTCTCAGCAACTGTGAGTGCCGTCTCTTAGCTGCAAACCCGGTGCTCCCGGTAGCGCTCCTATGTCGTTGCCCCAGATCCTCCTCTACCTCATCCGTCTCGTCGTCGACGCTGAATTCTTGCCTATCATATCCATTAGCTATATGCTTTCCCACAGAGCCGCCATGATAACCATTATGACTCCCGGGGTACACACACCCTTTATGAGGCTGTCCCACCGTGGAAGTTCGGCGAGTAGCGGAGGGCCTTCGAGGCTTCCCACCGGGGGAAGATATCCTCCCTCTCAGGGAAGAAGCTGCAGACGATGCTCTGGATAACCTGGATCCCGTATTTGCGATGTTTTCCGGAGAGTGCGTCCGGACATGCTCAACTGCGCTGCTAAAAGAATCGACGGAACCTAAATACTCCGCCGGCAAAGCATCAAAAAGCAGAGGAGGTAGCGGTTAGTAGGGGTTATATTTACATCCGGTAAAAATAAGGGTGATAGCGGTCCGGATCATAATCCAAAATACCCCATGCCCAAATGACACAAAAAACCAAGGGGGGAAGAAGCGTACTCGGAACGACATCTCTACTCCCATCTCCACTTGGGACAGGCGTTTCCGGTTCCGCCTTCGTCCTGTCTTGTCGGTTAATGTGCCGTACTGTCCCCGCTGAATGGGAGCCCCCGGAGTAAGGACTTGGATCCTCGTGTCCCGACATCTGAGAGGAGAATGGGGTAGCAGAAATTCGTCTAGAACTTGGGCCCGGGGCCGGTAGATTTCTTGGGTTGAATGTCGAGGAGACCGGATGCGGCTCCTGTTGCGTTGACGAGGGATTTGAACGTTGGACGACACCTGGCGCAGAGGGATTTCTTTGGTCGCTGCTCCCCATAGATTTCAGATTAAAGCAGGACAAATTAGGGAATTAGGGAGGCGGGGGGGAACAAATTGGGCGAGGGAGCAGAGGGGGGGGGGGGAGCAGGTGTGATTGTGGCCCGTTCCGATCGCAGCATAATATATGATGAGGCAGTGGGCAGGGATGACGCGATCAAGGAAATATAATGTCCAAACACAAAAAAAAAAAAGTAGCAAACAACAAGTTTCCTTTCTCTTTTACTCTTTTCTCTCTCTCACCCTCGGAGAAGATGGAATAACGTACTGTTTAATATCTATCTACCTGCCTCGGCTTTCTGCAGGACAGATATGTTGGTTCCTCCCCTCGAACAGGAGGCACACACGATGCAGGATCAGGATGAGGATGAAGAGGATGATGAAGAGAAGGAGGAGGAGGAGAATGAAAACACAAAAGGAAAGACAAACAAGAGAAAGTTGGAAGGAAGGGAAGGAAGGAACCCGAAAAGAATTTTTCACAAGAAAAAAAGCAGAAAAAAAAGGAGAGAATGAAAAAGAAAAAAAGTGAAAAAAAATAATAATAATTGTGGGAAACAAGGGAGGAGGGTATGTCTGGTGTGGACGGGTATCGCCTGAAGTTTAGTTAAAAAGTGGGAGGAAGGACGATGGACGATCTAGACCAAACACAAAGTGTAATATCATAATACCGATGCAGTAATAGTGCCGGCGGAAGCTATTATATCATACGGTACTCGTACTGTCCCGTACTGTACCGGTACTGCACTGTACTGTACTGTATGAGTATGCAGTCTACCGTAATCCAGCACCTCTCCCCCCGGACAGTTGACTAGACTAAACTTTCCCAATAACCGCCTTCATGTGCCCGTTCACATTCCCGCCCAGCCCAAAAATCCCGAATACCAAGATTGATAAACAATTCACTACGGATACCGGTATCGCCTGTCCTCTCCTCCCAAGGCCACACTTTCTGCCTTCCACTAGTGTGCCAAGAAAGTATAGACCGGCATGGAGGAGAGGCTCCCCTGCCTTAAATTCTTTGTCGTCTTGGTCCATTACCCGCCTACACCCACTACTACTCCTCGTCAAAGTGCGCTTCCGCCGCGTGACGTGCAGATCCTCGCACCAAGGAAAGCTTACGGTGCCCAACTGCGGGCGTGCGTACTGCCCACCATAATACGTATGATACCTCCGAGCGTTCCGTCTCACGGCCGCTTGACCACCCATGATCAGCGCTGCAGTGTAGTGCGGAAACTGCAGTACTCGTGAGAATCTGATTTGAATCACGTCCGAGAGGGGAAACGAATATCACACCCCCAAACACTTCATCTACTCGAGTAACAATAGTCTACATCGAACACGCCGGTGACCCACCTGACGCACCCCACCATCATATCATATCATAACATGACCGCTCACAACCACCATACAATTCTAATCCGCACTCTCAACGTAATCTCTTCGGCAAACGTAAGCCCCTATCCCATTAACGTGACACAGTCATATACCGCGCAGCACGATATGATAAGTTATGATACGGTGTAGTGCAGCACAGTGCCGCAATGGATTACCTGGTGGGGGATGACCGAGATGGTATTACGGGACGCGGGTTCTGCGGTGAATCTTGTGAGTGGATGCCTTGCTCGGTTTCAGCGCTGTGTGGAGCGGATAGGGTGCCGTAGCGAGAAGAGTAGAGCGCTCTGTGATACCGCGATGCGGAGTGAGAGGTGGTGGTGGTGGTGTAATGGGTAGGGTAAAGTGCCGTGCCGTTGCAGGTGTTGGGCAGGATAATTCTACGGTACCGTACTGTACAGTACCGGTACTGTGCTGTACCTGCGTGTGCACTCCCCCGGCACCAGAAAGGGTTCTTTGTGCCCAGTATATTACCGGCACCCAAACGGAAGTCGTCCATCGATCCCCGAGTACAGTACATGTTACCGGTATCGTATCGTCCAGCCATATACCGAATGCTGCCGGTATGCAATAATAACGAACCTTCCCCAATGCTACGAGTACCCTAGAGGTCCCCACAGCCAATAGGCGCGCCCTCACGGCGGCTCGGAAATCGGCCGGGCTCTCCCGCAACAGACACCCCTGCTCCCTTCGCCTTGGTGCCGGGCGAAGAGGGAAAGCTTAATTACATGCCAAGACCGCCACGTGCGTCATGCAAGTGTTGCCCGGGGAACGCTTGGCCCGCATACAGTTTTTGGGAAGATCGAGTGTGAGAATATATCTGGCATGAAAAAATTTGCTCCTGGATATCCTCCCGTTCTTCTACCCTCCCCTCCCCTCCCCCTCTCTTCCCATTTGCTGTGCGATTCTTGGGCGAAATAAGCTAACTAGATGGGACATCTTCGATTGCCAATTCGAATGTGAAAAAAGAAAAAGAGAAAGGAAAAAGAAAAAAAAGGATACATGTAAAACTCGAGATAGCAGGCGTTGCGGGAACTGCATGTCAGCTTCCACACTGCCAGACCGAAGGGCAGGGATCACCGCAAACAAAAAAATTGGGAGCATGCTTCGTCTGCACCCCCATCCTAGGGCGCTCCTCCACCAAACACCCTCCGATCACCCGGCATCGGCCCCTATTGCGTCTTCTTGCTCAGACTACCCCCGATAATTTCCTTCCCAACGGCAATCGTTTCTTCAGGCCCTCGCTGCTTACCCCAGAGTGCACTGCTGCCGGTTGGCGCAGCCTGAGCACCATAGTCAATCTTCTTCAGCTCATGAATCTCCGTCTCCTCATCGACACCGAGGCTCTCCTGCAGAAATCTTCTGCGAACCAGGAACCGCTCACGTCTCTCCTTGAGTAGCCCTGGACTATCTAGCTTGGACAATGCGGTTCTAACTACAAGCCTGGTCGCGAAGTATATATGCTCCGAGAAAATAATGGCAGTAAGAACTCCCCAGAGCGTAAGATCCTTACGAGTCCCCGCAGCGGTAGTAGGTTCGGAGAATAGGTAAATGAGCGCAGCCGAAGAGATAGAGCCCATCCAGGACAGGAAGGCAAGGTTGCTATCCACCGATTAGTGCTCACCGGCTAACAACAGAGCAGGATTGAACCTACTCTAGCCACGGGCCTATAGAACCGGCCCTATGTGGAACAGGCCTCTTCATCTCGACACAAATTTTCGCGGCATCACTTCGAAGCTCGATCCAGTTGTTAATCAAGAATGAGACCGAAGCCAAAGGCCAAACTGGGGAGAACAAAGTCAGATATCCAAACTAACACGGAGAAGCTATTAGCTGATGCCGGAAAGTAATTAGGGTTAGGATATTGGAAGCTAACCTGCATGCACATTTCCCGAAGGTCGGCGGTCACATCGTATTCATCCAACTCCACTTCGTCCCTGACCCTCTTTAAGAATGCATGCTCATCCTCCTCGTCGCTGACTTTTCCTGCATCCTCATAACCCTTTCTGCTGTTCTGGAACTCCTTGGCCTTTCTGAAAACTCTCCTCTTGACATATGGAACGATGGTTTCCAATGCCAAGTTGACAACCTGCGCAGTTACAGTGAAGTAGATGACTTGCTTTCTCAGTCTATCAGTATTGACCTGGAATACTGGGGCTGCCGTTGGTTTCTCGTCTTCGGTGAAAGAGTGGACGGTCAAGCCGAAAACGTCCAAGTGGGGCACAATGAGGTTACCGAAGGGGACGTATATGAATGCAGTGAGGAAAAGCGGGACATAAGAGCAGATAAAATTGAAAACAAAGATTTTCTGGGTCATTGCCGCTTCCTGGGATGATTCGTTTTCGTAGTTCTCGAATTCCGTCAAGCCAGCTGCAATTTTCGTGAGGATTGATGTGAGGATTGGAACGAATAGGGTCAATAGCACGGTAGGAATGAAGACCTGTTGTCAGTCAGCGCATATGCCGGCACAATGAGCAGAGCATGCTCTTACCAAAACGGACTTGAATGGCCCATTATAAACCTCTGAGATAAAGATCTCAATTACAAAAACAACTGCAAACAACGCCGAGAGCATACCACTAGCTCCCAAGGCGAATGGGATCTGCAGGAGTTGACGGCAGAGGCGCTTCCAAGCGGGGAAAAACTTGACCACCTCCCCGGTGACAGGGTCCTCGACCTCCTCCTCATGCACAAATTGGGCTCTCTTGTTCTGTAACTGTGACACATTGCGAACACCCCATCGGACAGCCAAATCGACTTCCTGGCGCTTCCAGTACTCGACGAATATGACGGACCAGAGGCAGTTGGAAATAGCGAAAGCGAGAGAATACTGGGAAAGAAAGAAGTAGGATCCCACGCCAATTGTAGCTGCGACAACCAAGAAAGAAAGGTAGGATTGTAGGAAAGCGAAGTAGAAGGCAATCTACACATTTATGAGTTTTCGCCAGTCCCCTGATTGAGATATCTGGGAGCTACTTACCCTCTCTCCAAACCGATCTTTCAATTTCTCCAACTCCTCTATTGAAACTATCCAAGTAGTAGACCAATCTTTCAACCACATCTGATAGGAGGTTAGTGACGGCTCTGAAAAACAGTTTTGACACCTCCAGGTTCTGGGGATTCACCTTGTTGAAATCGTGATCATGCAACGGGAAAATACTCTCCACTAGAGTCCAGGGACCCTGTTCGGGGGTAATTCCAGCACCGCCTTCGCCCACTGGCAACGTGATCAACTTGTGAACAATTCTCAATCTCTCTGCCTCTGTCAATGGCTCCTTATCCAACGATCTTTGAGTCTCCTTGTCAGGAGCTGCAGGGCGAACACCGAAAAGCCAGTCCTTTACCCTAACCCAATCGTAAGCGCCCACTTATGATACCAAGCTTCTATCCACCATTTAGAGAGCCATAGCTTACCGAGACCTGTAAACCTCACCAATAAGCCTCTGCTCAGAGCGAACAGTGACGAAGACGAGAACAGATCCATTGGCGCCATCACGAGCCTCAGTCCTAAGCCCAACCGAATCCAAGACAGCAATCAGCTTCTCAAACTGAGCTTCAGCTTTCTCCCTGGCTAGGATACACTTTTGTCAGTAACCGATTCAAGCGGGAAATTGGACTCGATGGAACTCCTCGCTTTGTTGAAGAAGCAAGCACACGCACCTGTGCCTCCGAACCGGAACGAGATCACGTAGTCCACACCCTGGTTGCTCGCCGCAGCTGCTCGGGGAGGCGAGAGGCTAGGCTCTGCCATAGTTGCTCTTGCTGATCCTCTTTTAGTTTCCTGTGAATAGCCTTTTCTTGTTCCTCGTCAAAAACTCAGTTGGGGAATGAGGGAGCTGGAAGATGGGAGGAAGAGGGGAAGGGGGTTAAATTAACTTAGGGAAACGAGGAGCGAGGTTTGGCTCACTTCCAAGATAGCTCAGCGACGGACAGACGGCTTGCCAGCTGGGCGGGATCAGACGCCGGGAACGTAGGAAAGCTGCCATCCTATGATGCAGCCGAGACTCCACGCATCACCACTAAGTCCAAGTATAGTCTAGCAAGTTACATCATTGGATACCAGTGCTGTAACGTATTGCCCAGACTTTTGTCTTTTTTTTTTTTTTTTTTTCCGTTGGTAAATTTCAGGATTCCCGGTTTGAGTTAAATCTCTCTGGTGCTCGTATAAAGCCACTCGTTTCTAAGTGTTACTTGTACATAACTTATATCTGATACACGATAGCAGCAAACAACAAGATCTAGTAAAATATGAGAACAAGATAGCGTTCTTATTGATAATAATAATACAGTGTTAACGCTGGGAAAAAATCAGCAGAAGGCTAGAGGAAAAAAAACCGGAAATTGGAGAAACCCGCCCATCCAGCTTTCCCGTGTAGGCGGGGTTTTAGCAAGGAATTATTGTTGACAAATGAGGAGTGAAAAATGGAGTGCTTCTTGGTCACTGGAGATAGGCAACCGCCAATAGTTGAAGCATCACATAAATGTTCCTATGACGAGACTAGGCGATCTTCCTAGCGCCTTCGTGCCCCGATCCCCCTCGCCCTGCTCCTGCTCCTGCTCCTGCTACGACTCCTGCTCCTGACCCTACGGGTACGACTCCTAGACCTACTGTAGCTCCTTGAGCTGTAGCTGCTGTAGCTCGGGCTCCTTCTTCTCACGCGTCCCTGCCCAGTTCCATAACGGCCCCCACCGGTCCGAGGGGGAGGGCTGTATCGAGGGTTCCTACCGGGAGGTTCCCGGCGACGATATGAGGATCTAGACCTAGATCTGGAAGGGGATCTTGAGCGCGATGAGAAAGAAGGGGATCTAGTTCTGGCCCTCGAAGTAGGTCGGTAACTATCCCCAGCGGCTGCTCCGCGGTAACTATCACCCCGAGAAAATCCCCTTCCGGCACCAGCACCAGTACCCACATGCGCACGACGAGGCGGGGATCGGTAACGGTTTCCAGTTTGGCCACGGTAACGAGGGCCCGGGGGAGGTCTGCGAGTCGGAGGGCCAGAGCCGGGGCCGGAGGGGTCTGAGCGACGTGGTATAACTATCGAAACGTTGACTACTGCGCCATCGAGTTGACCTTCATGCATATGTGCGATGGCAGCGTGAGCAGAGGAAGAGGAATGATAAATAACATAGCATACGCCACGGTTTGTATTGTCTGTAATGATCGGAAGATCGGGTAAGTGGGGAGCCCAAGCATCAAGGCAAAGTAAGCGAGTGGAAAGGCTCACATTGGTGATTCAAGGGCATGTCCAACATCTTAATTTCCCCATAGCTTGAGAAGATTTCGGCGATGTGAGCTTCGGTGACATTCTTTGTGAGCTTCTCAATCACAATCTAAGACTCTGCCATTAGCACCAAGATCTAAATCCCCCAAACCAATGGCAGGGAATATGCTAGAATAGGCGCCGCGAACCTTTGTACTCTGTATCTCAGGACTGGCGCTTCGTGAATAGCTTCTTCCCCTACTGCCACTCCTGCTTCTCGACCTTGCCCTGGAAAGGGGAGATTGTGTCGGAGACCTAGATCTATTGGATACAGGAGATCTTGTTCCGGAATGAGAACGAGTGGTGGAGCGGGAATTTCTAGAATAAGATCTACCTCCACGAGGCGGAGAGTTTGAACGGCTGGGGGAGCGGCCCCGAGAGAGGGAACGGGTTCTGGAACGATCCATTGGAACGGATAACGGTTAAAGGAATTTTGAAAGCCGATGTGAAAATTTTGACTGGATTGCTGATTTCCGAGGATAATGTCGGCAGGTCGAGACCAGTGGTGATGCCTAGGAGTTGTGTTGACTACGGAGGAGCGATGGGACGCGCAGAACGCGAGCGCCAAGCATGCTTCCCAATGAGGGCAAAGCCAAAGCCTAAGGTCCATTAGGTGAGCACACTATCAGATCACAGATCCTAACCGGGCAGGGGTCTGGATCAGATAAACCTGTCGGGGTGCCAAGAATTACTTTCACGGAAGAAGTTAGCGCCGTTGCTGGGAGGACTCCAGGTGAAACATTACAACAGCCACCAGCACTGTACTCGAGTACTCGTACAGGTGGCTGACGATACGAGTACAGTACTCGAAAACCGGCAAGCTTCGCTAGGGGAGGGGGAGGGGCAATGTTACCGTATACTCGCTAAAACCAAAAGTCTGTCCCCGAGGTATAGCTGTGGCAATACAGCAATTACTCTGCTCTGACAGCTCTGACGACGGGAGAATTGTGTTGATAGCATTGCCCATAAATAAAATGTCACTGGAAAACAGGGTCACTAGTGATGTCCAGAGGTTATGAGGGGTGTGTTGGAACTATTGATGGATATTCGGAATCAGAGAAGAAGAAGATCTTGATTGATTTGCTATTGTTCTCGAAGAGGAGAAGGAGAGAAAGATGAGAGAAAGGAAAATATATGTAGTGGTACCATCAAGCAAACACAGAATGAGAGCAATAAGAGACATGATGACATTGTATCTTGGACGCGCAATCATCTTTTCTAACACTTCCCGCCCATGTAAGCATTTAACAAGAACTAAGGCAAAAAGGAAACACTATAATTAACAAAATAAAAATATAAAAATAACAATATCCTCAATCCCGAGCTTCATCAAGCACCAGTAAAAACCCCCTATCCATTATTGTCTCAAGGGGGAAAAGGTATACTCTCAGCTCCTCCTGATCAATTAATAACTAGCATAATATAGTATAAGAGCAAAGAAAGAAAAATTAAAAGAAAGTAAAGAATGAAACGAAAGTGGATTAAGTTGTGAAACCCAACATGGAAAGGAAGTGACGATGAAGTACATCAGGTAATGCCTTAGTAAGGCCATCGGCTGCGTTTTCGGTTCCTGGAGTAAAGGTAAATTGAACAATTCCGAGCTGCTGAACTTCACGGGACTTGAAGAGCCGAATATCGAAATGTTTATTCCGCGCAGTAACTCCTTCTGACTTTACTGCTTGTAAAGCTCGTTCACTATCAGAATAAATGATAGTCGGTTTGGAAAGGGTTGCTGAATATCCTGGGTTGGAGGTACTATCAGCCGTCGGTGGTGAACTAGTGTAAGAGGCAATATCTGTGCCTTGTTGACTGGGTCTGGGTTCTATGCCGAGGGGATAAGAATCATGGTAGCTAGAGGTTAATTCCCCTTCTTCCCATACCACATCTGCAAGAATCTGACAAAGCCATAGAACCTCCTTTACTGCCTCGAGGTAGGCAGAGTATTCAGATTCTAGTGTAGAAGTAGCAACAATACTTTGCCGCTTCGACTGCCATGATACCGGTGCTCCAAGAAGAAAAATAAATGCACCGACGGATCTTCGAGATTGTGTATCATTGGCCCAATCAGCATCTGTGAATCCAATAAGCGCTAGTCGGATCGGACTACTCCTATAGTGAAGAATCCTGGACTTCGATTGTTTCAAATAGCGGAGAACCCGGTTCACAGCCGTATGGTGGACTGTATGGGGATTTGAGCTATAGCTGCTAAGAGCTGATATAGCATACGTGATATCAGGGCGTGTACCGAGAGATAGATACATTAGAGCACCAATCTTTTGAAGATAAGAGTGTTGATCAATAGGTTTATCATTGCTGAACTCTGAAAGATGAACATGCTTATTCAATGGAGTAGAAACGCCATTGGCATGTTCCATACCAAACCGCTGGAGAATGATATCGATGTACCGTTCTTGGGAGATAGAGTAGGACCCATCTCCATGTTGCTTGATTTCGAATCCAAGAAATCGCTTAACTGGTCCCAAGTCTGACATCCGGTAAGTGGCATTTAGACATCTTTTAACATCTTGAGCAACAGCGGGATCCTTGTAAATCATCAACATATCATCAACATAAAGGATTAAATAGAAGTTTTCACGGATATAGAGGTTAGGCTCTGCGGATGACTTGGTAAACTTCATTGATACCAATAGCGAATCAATTGCCTTATACCATAACCGAGGTGCTTGCTTTAATCCATAAAGGGCCTTTTGAAGCAATATAGTAGAGTACTGTATATCTGGTCGAATTTCAGCAAGGCCAGCAGGAAGCTCCATATAGACTTCCTCTCGATCAATTTTCGGGTTTAAGAATGCTGTAACAACATCAACATGGTCTATATACCACCGTCGAAATGCCGCAGTAGCCAAGAGAATTCTTAGTGTAGGTAGTCGGCTGACAGGTGCATATGTGGTATCATAGTCAAGGCCATGACGCTGCTCATAGCCTTTAATGACAAGTCGAGCCTTAAATCGTCAAGTATTATCAGGATTTAGTTTGATTCGAAATACCCACTTGGATCCAATTGGTATAATGGGAGAGGATGAGCTATCGCTTGAAGCTGGAATCTCCGTAATCCCAACCCAGGTTTTGCTTTCAAGCAAGGCCTCTATTTCAGCATTGATTGCCTGCTTCCACTCCAATGCATGATCGGAAGTCATGGCTTCTTCGAACGTCCTTGGATCTTGTAGTTCTATACCGTCAAGCATCGAGTTTACTTGCACTGCAAGTACCGATCCAACCTCAGCATTGTTGAGTTGTCTTTGCTCTCTTTCTCTTACAAACTCATCATGAACGCGCTTTAAGATATTGTAGTTCCGGAGATCTCTTGGTCTTTTGCATGACTGCCGTGGAATAGAGACTTCATTAATCTCCTCATCCACAAGACTGGCTGGCTCTTCGATTACGTCTTCTGCTTGAATAGATGCCTCTGCAGGACTTGGAGATAGCTCATTGCCCTGAGCGGGATCAATCTCTAGATCTTGATCTCCTATATTTAAAGTATTAGAAGTCATGTCTTTACTATAATATAGTAATAGGAATAAAGCAATGCAGGTATTCTTTCAACCCAGTAGAAACAAAACCGACAACAGAGAGAGTAAGAGTGGTTGGTAAGAGAGAATACATCTTTGCCTGTGTCTGATACGGAGACAGAGGTAAGATCAGAGAGAGCGAACTATCTTCTACCTGTACGGAAACAGTGAAGAGCTAGAAGAGAGAGAGACAGCAGTGTTTCTCCTTCACACAGAGAAAATCATGACTAGAGAGAGAGAACTATCTTCCGCCTATACGCAGATAGAGGCAAGATCAGAGACGAGAAGCCATCTTCTACCTGTACTAAACAGGGACGAGCTACAAGAGAGAGATAGTAGCAACCTTTTTTTTTTTTTTTTGATGGGCAGGAAATAGAATAGATATTAAAGAGAAATAATGCAAGAGAAAGAGGAAAAGAACATATCTTTTGAAGTCCAAGTCTACTATTTCGAGACAAGGAGAAATTATTCAACTGACCTCTATGATCCTCAACCGCAAGCAAGTCAAGCTCAGGAGTGCCGCGCGGTTGCTCAAGCTCAACTGGTAGATCGAGCTTGGGATCAAAAGCATTCAAACCGGAAGAGCCTGTTGAACTCTTTTCTGTTAGGGGGTAGGTAACTCTAAAGTCAAGCGAGTATATACTAGGCCCTGTAATCTTCTGCCTCGGAGATAGTCAAGAAGACTCGTAAAGATAGAAGTAAAGTAAAACGAATATATTGATAAGATCTCTTCTCCGGTCGCTGATGATAGACTTAAAGCTAGGGAGGCACCTCGATATTTATATTCCGCGTCTGGGTGGTCGCGGCCTACATCCAATCCCTTACTGACTATGTACCTGCCATACTAATGCTTCAGTGTCTTTGGAGTGCGAACTCCGTTTGACCCTGAAAACTAACTTCCCCGCTCTTTTCCTTAGTGGAGTGATCAGCTCCGTCAAAGGACTTATCAATGACTCTTCTATGTGCATAGCTTAGAGTGCATGACGAAGATAACTAACTCGACCAGTGAGTTGTTATTAACCAATCGTAACTAGGTCTTCCGGATGACTCTAGCTTACGCGAGCTGAAGGGACATGCATATTACTTCTTGTAATTGCATATAGACTTGCAGAGGTCGTAGCTCAATAACTAACCGACCAATCTGAACCAACTAAGTCTTATCTTGTAGAGCGGAGCTCCTTCTATGTTATCCAGCAAAAACCCCTCGGTCGCATGCCTCGTATCTCCGCGGAGCGGGCTGCGTAGATGCCTTGTCATATCGTGCGCTAATATCTTAGCGCTACGAATACTACGGCGGGGCCCGGAGTCGAACACGTGACTTTATGCATTTAGTCACGTGCCGCACCGATTACGCTATTATGTGTAACATTTTCTGATTCAAAAGGTGGAGGTTGTATGAGAACTGTCTCGGACGCAGGAGGCGAAATTCCTGAGCATGAAGAGATTGCATTCTCAATCTCACAGAATACAACACTAGAACTGTGAATAGCGCGCGCAGCTCCATTGTTTCCTCTAAAGTCCCATAGTCTCCAAATCTTTGTTGATTCACCATATCCAATCATCATACATGGAAGAGAGCATGGAGTAAACTTGACTTCATTAGAAGTCCTAACTGTATCTGGTACACGATGGTATGCTAAGCACCCAAAGCGTCGTAAATGCTGTAAAGTAACAGGTGCCTCCGGACAGAGAACCTCTAGTGGTGACTTGTTTTCCAATGCGGATGTAGGAGACCGGCGATGAAGGTAAACAGAAGTATTAATTGCTTCTGCCCAGAAGGTCATTGGCAAATGACTATCAATAAGGAGAGAGCGAGCATGGGAGTTCAGCGTTTGAATCATCCTTTCTGAAACACCATTCATATGCGGTGTATATGGGGGAGAGGGCTGAAAGACAATTCCATTTCTGGTAAGTAGGTTTTGAAATTACTCATTATCATATTCAGCGCGGCCATTGTCTGAACGAAACCTTTTCACCGAGTACTGAGGATATTGGGTAGCCAAATACTTAAGCACATTTTCAAAGGACTTCAGACAAGCCTCAGAGTTTTTGGCCTTTAAGAAATAGATGAAAACGAAGCGAGTATAATCATCAATAAAGAGAATGTAGTACTTGGAGCCTCCATTTGATTGTAGTAGGGGGCCACAAGTGTCGGAGTGAATGAGCTCAAATGGACTCCGAGACCGTTCAGCAGGTATCTGACTTCTGCTTTTTCGCTGCTTGGATAGGACGCAGGTTGAACAGTCTAGGACCCCTATTGCATCAAGATCTGCAATTTCCTTTGGTTTAGAGTCAAGCGCAACTCCTACAATTCTCTTGACTGCCGCCGGATGCAGATGTGCAAGCCGGCGATGCCAAATATCTTTGGGTAATTTAGTTTGGGAAAACAGTACCTCAGGTTTCCCAGTCGCTTCACAATCAGACACCAGATTGAGATTATCAGTATTTTCCAAGTCCTCTCTAGGTAGAGTGGACTCGGAGGTATCCAGGACATATAGACCATCAACATAGGTAGCCTGAAGTATGATATGAGTATCCTTTGTACCAAGACGATCCGAGTCTGCCTTAGTAATAAGGCAAGAATGATTCATAAATACGGCCTTGAGGCCAATCATATCCAGTTGACCAATAGAAAGAAGGGAGAGCCGAAATTGTGGAACATAGATCGCATTCAGGCTAAGACTTCCTAGGTGGAGTTGGCCACCATGGGTGGCAATAATTAGAGTTTTATCACCAAGTCGAATAGGTAAATTGTTGGGGAGTTTTTCTAGGTTAAGAAACTGAGACTTGGAGTTGCACATATGATGCGATGCACCAGAGTCAAGAATCCATTGGAATAATAAGAACTGGGAGATAAAAGGATTCGAAGAAGAAAAAGCGGAAGGGGTAATAAAGGGAGAGACAGAAAGAAAGCAAAAATCACGTTCCGGTATCTTGCAATATAGACTCAAGCCAGCTCTATATTTGTCTTCAAGTCGGTCGGCTAGTCAAAGGGAATTTGAGGGGCCGGGGCCTGGAGGATCAAGCTTTTGAGTTTCTGACGCTTGTAGTATATTTCCCGGTCCTACAACCATACTTCGGGTAGCTGCTAACCATTTTTCAAAACAGCTTCTGCCCTTTGCTGCCTGAGACTGAGTCAGGCTAGCGTAAGGACAGCCTCTTGTTCCATGTCCTTCCTCACCGCAGGAGAAGCACTGGACTGATTGTAGATTGAGAGGCTGTAAAGGGCTTGATCTTTGAGAACAGGAAACAGCCTTATGGCCTCGGCGGCCACACCTGTTACAGTTTCCATTAAATGGTCGAGCATATGGCTCCCGAAAAAATCACTTAGCCGTAGTAGTATTGGAGAATCCCCGGCGGCCCTGTCCACTAGCACGATAGGATCTCCGACCAGGTGTATTCTCTGAAAGCAATCCTGAACCTTCCTGTATGGTATTTGAATTTCTACCTTCCTGCTCTCCCAGCTGCATCGGGTCCTTGTTTGCCTTCGACATTTCTGCTTGCAAGACTTTATGGATCACTTCTGCAACCGTAATTGAACTTTCACGTTCCTGGATAATCTCCACTAAGGTATTATATGATGAGGGTAGAGATTGGAGTAAATGGCCTTTGAAGGTTTCATCATCGATCGCATAGTCCGTTCCTGTAAGTTGGTATTGTAGCGAGTGAAGTGTAGAAATAAAGTTGCTTAGAGGTTGACCATGGATCGGCTTGGTGGTATAGAACTGCTTTCGAATAGAGAGTCTTCCCTTGGTTGAAGCGGTGTTGTCAAAGCGCTCCTTCAATATAGTCCACATTTCCTGGGGAGTTGCTATACCAGCAAGATATCTTCTAGCCGGTAACGAGCAAGTAGCAAGAAGAAATCCTTTCACCTTTGCCTCAAGAACTTGGAATTCTTGTATTTCATCATCGTTTGATCCATCCTCTAAGAGTATAGGTGTATTCAATTCACCGGTAACGAGGCCAAACCCTTGAATGGCTTCAAGGTGAATCCGAACATTGGGGCACCAAATGTTGTAATTGAGGTAATCTAGGTGAGCGATTGTACCAACAAACTTAGAATTAAATGAATTTCTGGAATTGGAGAGGTCCAACATGATGTTAGGCGGAGGGATAGCGGTCGACAAGGGGCAATTAAGATAAGAGTAAGTGCAAAGGCAAGGTGAAGAAAAAGTAGGAATATTGGGAAGACAAGAAGGAGGTTTGACGTTAAGGATGAGTAACTTTTGGCAGTGGAATTGGTTTGCGTCAATCCCGGGCTCATAACCTGTTGGAACTATTGATGGATATTCGGAATCAGAGAAGAAGAAGATCTTGATTGATTTGCTATTGTTCTCGAAGAGGAGAAGGAGAGAAAGATGAGAGAAAGGAAAATATATGTAGTGGTACCATCAAGCAAACACAGAATGAGAGCAATAAGAGACATGATGACATTGTATCTTGGACGCGCAATCATCTTTTCTAACAGGGTAAGCCCCAATTTTCACACGCAGGGTGTGATTCGGTCGGTTGCGCCGAGGTAAAGGTCGGGGACAGACTTTTGATTTTGGCGAGCACACTGGCGGTGTTTGGCCCTCGGAAAATGAATAGTAAGATAAATTTACTCCGTAAGAAGCTATTGGTCATTAGTTACCTCACGGCCCGCCAGTGCTCGGCTGATATGCATTTGAATGTTACATCATGAAACACGATGGGGAGACTACTGTACTCGAGTACAGTAATGCAACCTGGTGGGAGGGAAAGGTCTCCCTTCTCAACCATCCAGCTAATTGATATCATATCAGCGCAAGAAGCGTGCACCCTCAACTCAAGATTTAGGCACCACTACCGTCGGATTCAGGCGGCTGAAGTATGATCTTCTGCTCGAGTAAGGCACCGCCACTGCAGCACAACCCGGAATTCCCTCATATCATAGGAGGATTTTGGTGCATGATGGTATCCGGCTACTGTATGTCCAAAATACTTTATTTATCCTAGCCGTATGAGAGTATCACAATGATACGCCTGGATCGCCCAGCGAGCTTGGTGCTGGAAAAAACCTGGACAGCCCTCTCGAGCGCTAGAGCCAGTCACGATCAGAGAAGCTATCAACAACGGTTAGAGGTATTAATACCACATCCGCACCACAGAATACCGGTAATAGTATGGCAATTTCAGCTGGTGCGCGAGCAACTGCCAAATACATGCAATTATCCCCTACCCTCAACATCCCAAACGAGCCTTCACCAAGGCAGGAAAAAGGTTCTTATCTTCCATTGCTTTGCTCCTCTTCCTCCCAGAGCCAGGTAGAGTAGGGCGCATAACCAGTGCAATACTGTACGGCATTGCTCAACACTTCTCACCGGAAATTTTCCACCCGTTGGCGCCGCCGCAACAGGAAAGAAGTTACTCTCCGACGAAAGGAATCTCTGCACTCCTCCAAGTCCAAGACAGGTTACCTTCTAGGCATTCTTTCCATATCGAAGATGGCACCCTCGACGAAGTTTCCGATGCCTACCCTGCCGATCCCGACTCCAGGGTCCCCTCGTGCTCGCTGGAGGGATGAGGCAATACCTGCGTCCTCAACTAGTAACTCTTATGGATTTTTGAATTCCACCTATTTTCCCCTATCGTCCTCTAGCCCCCTCCATTCCAATTTCCTCTTTTTGCCCTCCTCTTATTCTCGGTCCATTGCGCTGGGCTCTAGTGTGCCGACAACGGAAAGGTCCACAGCATCGGCAACAATTTCGACGGAAGCGGCAGGAATAGCTGTTGGAAAGGCCATGGCCGCACCGGCGCCCACTGGAGGTAGTCGATTTTTTCTGGGAGATGGTAGCTGTGTCAACCCTGGCAACGGTAGCGTTCCAGGAAGTACCATTAGTACGCCTGGAATGTCGCAATCCTCGTCGGCTCTTAACCTTGCCTCCCTCAATTCTCCGAATGCCCTATCTTTGGCATCTTCCAGCTTCTCTGAATCTCTCTTCGGCGGAGAAGCCAACACTAGAAGGGGAAGTATCTCGCAGGTTGGAGCTTCAAGCGGAATTCCTACCACAGCTACGTCACCTGTGAACGTGATCTCAAACCCTGGCACTGCGCGGACATCCACGAACGAGGGCGTGGGCATTCATGTACAATCCCGCAATTCCTTCCCCTCTCTCCTTCAACAACAGCAACAGCCGCAACAACAAGCACAGACACCGCAGACACATCCGGGCAGATCTCGATCGAGATCCACAATGAGTAGACATGAAGGGGCCCAACCGGTATTCAATCAACAGCATCAACAGAGGACGCTTTCCAGGTCTCCTATCTCCCCTGGTACCCACACCAAACGGTCTTCGGTCTCCAGCAGCATAACCAATCTGACGGATCCGGGTGGGGACAGGGACAAGGAGAAGAAACCTCGACGTTATGGGAGAATTGGAGTGTGTGCCCTTGATTCCAAAGCGAGGAGCAAGCCTTGCCGAACCATCTTGAACAGATTAATCGAGCATGGGGAATTCGAGACAATTATATTCGGTGACAAGGTTATTTTAGATGAGTGTGAGTACAATTTTCATCCGATCTTTTACACTTTGCTTGCTACGAGTACTTCACCGGGCGAAGAAAAGAAAAGAACCGGGGCGAAAACATCCCACGTTTTGCTATTGTTATTTTTGATTGGCCCATACCAAAATCTTCCAAGACAAGATTGGGATGGATTAATACAAATCTTTAAAACATCTTTGTGCCAGGTTTCCCCCAATCTTTCCAACCCCCCCCCCCTTCCTCCTTCCCTTACCACACAATCCTACCCCCACCATACCGTAGCGCTTGGGGGTGACACACCTGCACATTTGATTGGGATTCTCACGGCGTTCAAAACGCTAATGTTTTTGTGACATCTTTAGCCATCGAAAACTGGCCTACTTGGTATGTACCTGTTGTTGTTCCTTTTTCTTATTTATCCTCCTTCGGGTTATTCTTTTGGACGCGTAATTTTCAATTAGCGTACCCGATCCCCGGGCCCCACCGACGAAAGAGGTTCTTGAAATAGATATTTTTCTCTTTATCTCCGTTTTCTGTTTTTGGGAAAGCCAGTTTCCTGATTTTTTTTATATGTATCACTCCATGGGGTTTCCGTGTTCGTTGTGGATCTTAAATACGGACATCATGTTCTGAACATGTGTGCTTGTATATGCCTCTTTTTTTCATTTTTTTTTTATTCACTGGGTTTGGGATTCCTCTTAAAGGCCCTTTGACTAACCTTTCACAGTGATTTTCTGATATCATTTTTTTCGACCGGGTTTCCGCTTGACAAAGCAACACAGTATGTTGCCTTACGCCAACCATATTGTGTCAATGACCTTCAGATGCAAAAGATCCTGTGGGATCGCCGACTGGTTCTTCGGGTATTAGACTCAATCAAGGTTCCGACTCCCAAACGCCTCGAGGTCTCTCGAGATGGAGGCCCATATCTCCCCAGCGAACTTGCCTACTATTTAGAGATGAAGACCAGTATAAAGGTTCCACCACAAGGCGAGTGGAAAATGCCTCAAAAAGTTGAGTTGAGTGAAGATGGAGAAACGCTCACCGTCGATGGGAAGTGTCTCAAAAAGCCATATGTTGAAAAGCCGGTTAATGGGGAAGATCACAATATCCACATCTATTTTGCCAATGGCGGCGGCGGAAGGAGATTGTTCCGAAAGGTGGGGAATAAGAGTTCCGAGTTCGACCCTCATCTCTCGCAGCCTAGGATGAAAGGATCCTTTATTTATGAACAGTTTATGGATGTCGATAACTCGGAGGATGTCAAAGCATATACTGTTGGCCCTGAGTTCTGTCATGCCGAAACCAGGAAAAGTCCGGTTGTTGATGGGCTTGTGCGAAGAAACACTCACGGGAAGGAGATCAGGTTTGTCACCACGCTCTCACCCGTTGAATCTGGTATGGCGGCTAGGATTTGTGAGGCATTTGGGCAAACGGTCTGTGGGTTTGACCTGTTAAGGGTCCACGGAAAGAGTTATGTTATTGATGTCAATGGTTGGAGCTTTGTGAAGGATAATACGGAATACTACGATCGTTGCTCTAGTATCCTTCGGTCCACCTTTATTAAGGCCTGTCAGGAGATGAATAGAGAGAGCTACAGAGACCCAGGAGCTATGGGGGTCTTGATTGTTCCAGCCAAGGAACGGAGCCCGAGCAGAAGGCCAAGCTCTAAACGTAACTCCAGCAGCCATCGCGCGGCATTGCACAACCTGTTGTCTAGGTCACCTTCGTCTCCTAGGTTGACAAGCCATCACCAACTATCACCGACAGTAGCCACGGCCCCGAATATTAATCCTACCCCCGGACAATTACCTATGCCGGCTGCTGCAGGCCAAATTCCCCAGTCTCCATTGGAACCAATGTTTGGGGAGAACAGGGAGAAGCCTAAGCCGGCGGCGCCTCAACATACCTGGAAGTTGAAAGGCATGGTTGCGGTCCTGCGACACGCTGACCGCACCCCGAAGCAGAAATTCAAGTTCACCTTCCATTCCAAGCCCTTCGTGGATCTACTTAAGGGCCATACCGAGGAGGTTATACTTGTCGAAGAGGGCTTACAGGATGTCATCGACGCTACTCGCCGAGCGATTGAAGGACGCACTGAAGACATGGATAAGCTCGCAGTACTCAAAAATGCATTGGAAAAAAAGGTCGGGTTTGCGGGCACTAAGGTTCAGATAAAGCCAATGTTCCTCAGGACGGAGGTTGTGGAGGAATCGGTTGAGATTAATAGTGATGGTTCGACGGCTTCTCCGGGCAGCGGCTCCACTGAAGGGCGGGTCAACGTTAGCCGAGTCAACAGCGTGTCCTCGTTCTCTGGCGATCCCACGAAATCGAAGCAAGTGTTGGACAAGCTACAATTAATCATCAAATGGGGCGGCGAGCCCACCCACTCCGCAAGGTATCAAAGCCAAGATCTTGGTGAATCATACAGGAAGGATCTTCTCCTGATGAATAAGGATGCATTGGAGGATGTTTCTGTTTTCACGAGCTCGGAGAGAAGGGTTACTACAAGCGGTAAGTCTTTAGTTCCCCAATATATATAGGCTAATACTGACGTTGCATTTCCATGTGTAGCTCAAATCTGGACTGGCTCTTTCTTGGATCACAAAATTCCGGATGACTTTGTGAAAGTGAGGAAAGATCTGCTTGATGATTCGAACGCTGCGAAAGATGAAATGGATAAGGTGAAATCGCACTGTCCGAATTCCAACCTATATCTAATATTCTCCGATAGGTCAAGAAGAAATTGAAATCGTTGCTCCGTGAGGGCTCAAAACCTCCTCCGCAATTTGCTTGGCCAAAAGATAATATGCCGGAACCGTCCGTAGTGATGCAGAATGTTGTATCGTTGATGAGGTTTCATAGAAAAGTGATGCATTACAACTACAGTAGGCTTTTTGGCACCAACGCATCTTCAACGTCTTTGTCCTCCCTGGCCCCCTCTGGCACACCATCTCTCGCTCAATCCACTGCCAATGTTCAATCACGCTGGTGCTGTGGTGAGGATCCTGGCCTTTTCAAAGAACGCTGGGAGAAGTTGTTCGTCGAATTCTGCGAGTGGGAGAAGGTCGACCCTAGCAAAATCTCTGAGCTTTACGACACAATGAAATACGACGCTCTGCATAACCGCCAATTTCTAGAGGCTATTTTCATGCCTTCTACCGCAATGCTGGAGGCTGATGATATTGGTACCGCCATCCATTACTCAATGGAGGATCTGAACCTGCCTACTTCTGGAGACACTAGAAAGTATTCTTTGTCTCCTAGTTCTGAAGGAGAGAGGGAAATCGTCCCACAACAACAAAGAGGGACTAGCAAAAGAGAACGCCTCGGCTTGCGAAGCCGAGGCTTGCGCGGCAGTGGGGCCAAGCAATCCTTTGAAGGGGAGGCCAGTCGTAGCTACGCTGCAACTCAATTGAATTCCAAATCTAAGAGTGATGTTAGGCTGTCTAAGCTTCGTGAGCTTTATCGACTTGCCAAAGTCTTGTTTGAGTGAGTGCCCTCGACTATTCTTACGCGCGTTGTATTTACTGATTTTCTACCTTAGTTTCGTGTCTCCGCAGGAGTATGGTATTAACGATGAAGAGAAACTAGAGATTGGGCTCTTGACCAGCCTACCGCTCTTGAAACAGATTGTGAAAGATTTGGAGAATGTCCAAGCAGCTGAAAATGCGAAGTCTTTTATCTACTTTACGAAGGGTATGTTGAACTACTTGTGTCTCGTCTATTGCATTCTAAATCATGGATTTCCAGAATCACATATCTATACTTTACTCAATTGTATCATTGAGGGAGGTCTCCCGATCAAGATGGAACGCAACGCTATTCCCGAGCTTGATTATTTGACCCAAATCTGCTTTGAGCTTCTAGAATCGGAAACCAAGGATCAACCAGGAGACTCACCTGACGAACCGAATACTAGTTCCTACAGTATTCGGGTCAGCATATCCCCAGGGTGCCATAGTAAGGATCCTCTCGACATGCATCTCGACGCCAAGCACTGCATCGGGTGCGCGCCGCGCAAGAGCTTAACTAGGCATTTGGACTGGAAATATGTTGTCGAAACATTGAGAGAGAAATTCCATCGTGTCAAGCTGCCTAGCAAGTTTATCCCGATCAACCTTGGGGAAGCAAGTCTGAAGAAGAGCACTGGAACGAGCGAGGGCAAGGAGGAGAAAGACACCGAAAAGGATGGCCTTGGGGCTATTGGCGCTGCGGGAAAACAGTCACCCCCTGAAATGATCATGGAAGAGCATCTTGAGGAGCTGGTTATGAGAGACGAAACTGGAAACGTGAATAACGAATACTAGGGATAGAAAGTGTGCATCTTATTCGTTTCTTTTCGCGTGTGTACGGGCTATTGGGGAGGACATTGGCCATTAATTGAGGTGGTTGATGGTGTTTGTGGACAGCTAGGTCAGTGCTTTCATAGACAGCGGATTTTGTACTTAGTTTCAGTATGGAATAAACGAGAGGTGGTTTTTCGTACGGGAGATGCATTCTAGGGTGCACGGAGTGCCGTTGGGCTGATTGAATCCTTGCCAAATTCCATAATAAATTTACATCACTAATATTGCTCTTCATGGTCTATCGACTAAGACATCTAACTGGAGCACCTAAAACTTGAATACCCACCATGTCACAGCCCCACTTTTCACTGTTTGCACCGGGACCGAAATTAAATCTTTTCAAGGGACCCATAGTGCAAGAGGCCTTTCCCCCAACCTCTCCCGCCACTATATAAAGCCCCTCGCCCCACCCCCTTCTCGCACAAACAAGTAACCCCGACTCGCCCCAAGTTTACCAAACAAGTCCTCACACAGTCAACAATGTCCCCCCATCCAATCCTCAAAAACATGATCGATAACTCGATAGAGCGTGTCCTGGCACTAACCACGCTGGTCAGCCCGCCCATGGACGATGTCAAGGCAGAAGTAGCGCACTTGAGGGATCTGGTAGGACTTCAGGAGAGGGCGCGAGAGTGTTTGGTTAGGTATTATAGGAGGAAGCTGGCGGAGGTGAGGGAAGGAGGGGAAGTGGGAGAGAAATGGGGGAGAAAAAAAGGGAAGAGGGCGGGGAGATGACATGAAGAGGGAACAAGTTTAAGGGGGATGGATTGGGGAACTGGGGAAGGTGGCTGGTCGAGCTCTTGTTCACTTTTGGGTTGGTGTTATCGTGTGGATGGTGGTGTTCTCTGCTGGTGTTCTGATGTGTCTCACGCTCTTCTTGGGTAACAAGATTACTGTCTTAATTAAGGGCTTAGAAGTAGAGGCAGATTTTCGATTCGTGGATAAGACAGCTTACCGGTATAAGGACTTGCCACACATCCCTCAAGTGTGGAATGGGGAAGCCAGCAGAAGCCATGCCCGATCAGTCGGCTCCACCGCGCGTTTTTCTCACACCTTCCCCCAAAGTGTGTTCATAGTCTAAATTTTTAGGTGCGACCCGTCCGTACCGCGCAATCGAAACCATGGATCACCGTTATCATGACACCGTAACAGAATATTACAGTATTATCCACAAATCTGGATGCTTACGGATACATATCCCGTCCTTTTCATGATCAATACATCCACCTAACTAAATTAACTGGGCCACTAAAGTAACCTCCAACCAACCCGCTTCCGGCAAACTCTGCGGGAGGCTGTGCCACCTGACCACCAACGCATGGCGTTACCGCTATCGCGACTTCTCTCTCCGTTACGAGACACTCACCACCCCTTAGACCTAGTTTCGTGGAAAGAAAAAATGCGTTAGAGGCGCCTCATGCGGGGATAGTAGTAGAGAAGTGTGGGGTTTAAACTTTGTTTGGTCGGTATGTGTGAAGGGAAGTATGATAAGATCTTTTGTGACTGACCCATGTGGTGACTGTGGTGCGTGGTGAAACGAGTGATCGCCGGTGACTACCTGGGTGGGCGTGGAGCCTGAGGGGAGGGAGTATTGTGATACCATGAACAAATATGGCTCATTGGTTTCTCTTGAACTCATTGATTGATGGTGAGGATCTCGTAAGCTGTAGCTGGGTATTATTGTTATCTGCATGGGGTATAGTATCGTGTGCGTTATGGCTGCGGCGAAGTGCGATAGCCAAGTTACTTGTACAATTCGTGTTGGCCGTTGTACCCGTAGTGGGTGTGAGAGATACTGTGCTCGTATAAATGAGCATAGGATGATGGATGCCATAATCTGCTATCTTCATTCCCTTCCCCGGACCTCACTTTCAGAGTAAAAAGGTGGGAATACTAGGCTTCACTTTGGGCAGTCGGTCTCGGCCCCCACCCCCTGCAATCCCTGCAATCAATCAGCCCTGCTCCATCCAGTGCTTGGGACTCTCTTCCTCGTGGCTTCCTAAGTTATGATCATATCCACCCGCTCGGGCTTGTTCTCCATCCTCCAAGTTACCCCGGACCTTATGAGAACCACCACTGCCGTTCTTGGCCGGCCAGCGAAACTCTTCACACTTGAACTCTCCACTTAAGCTCTTGAAGGATCACTGCTAGCCTCTGGGAACCCGACTAGTACTGGTCGGCGCTGTGGCCTGAATGTAAGCAAAGCCTGCCTAAAAAAGAGGGGTTGTCGAAAACTTCTTATCCAGTAAGTACAAGGTTCGTGTGGGAGTTCGGGGACAGCGCCAAACTGGGGTTTTGTTCCCGGCTCTTTTCGTTTCGGAACTCTTGTCTGGTTCTTGGTTGATTCACAGCGGTGCTCATGCAGTAGGGGTTATATATCCAGCAGACAAACGGGCGCCTGCTTCAGGCATTTCCCCCCCTTGGGAGCTATGGCGTAGACAAAGGTGTATCTTTCTCGAGATTCTCTCATCCCTAGCTCCCTATGCCCCATTCTCATCACCTGCGGTCTGCCCATTCATTACCACAGTTCTCTGCTCATTTAATGTGTGCTATGTTTGGAAGGGGGTGTGTGGCCAACAACTCCCGGCTCCCCTGCAGGATTCTGGAGACCCTTGGGGAGTGGGGCTAGACTAGCGGGTGATATGATGAGCTGTTGAGAGCATTTGATACCACATGCAAGTAGGGAACGTGGAAGAGAGGGCGGTATCAGTGAGGAAATGCAAGGCGGTGGAGATTATTCCTAGGATCAGGGTACCGTACTGTACAGTAGAGCACGTAAAATGCCCAACTTTTCGACAAAGCTTAAGCCTAACCTAGAGCAAATGATGACCATATAAATTGATTGATGGCAGGTAAGGGAAGTTACCGGGAGAAAAAGAAAATTATGGGGGGTGCGCTGGGTTAGACTGGGGAAACATTAAGCTAGGTGCATGCAGTAAGTTACTGATAACAGAGGACGGCAGATGACACTGACCTACCCGTAACGGGAGAGGACTGCAATTACTATTACTGCTCATAATTTCTTTCAGAGAGGGTCCCTCAGACGGGGGACACAAGTACTGCACAGTATCGTCGCTTTTAGAAAATTACTCGAGTGCTGTATCATACGGGTCTAATATCCTAGCCCTAACCCTGCCAGCATTCGGTACGTTGATACCAATTCCCTTACTACGATACCGTATTTGCTAAAATTGGCGATACCAAATGACTCCTGCCTTCCTCCGGGAAAGCATATTTCGTCCGCACTCCCACCCTCCCCATCTGCGTGTCCTGACTCCAGCAAAATTCGCCGGAATCCACCCACGCGTGCTTTCTACACATTCTGCCCAACTCAATTCCACGCCCCGCAGCCAAGAACTGCCCCACCATCCCCAAATAGCCGCATCCGCGACTGCCACGATAATGGGTAAAAGGACACGAACGTCCAACCAAGAACCCATCGCCCCGAATCCGGCCCCCGCTCACGCATTCCAGGTAACGCTAGAAGATGGCACAGAGTGCACTGCGGTGAGGGAGGGTCTGGCAACGGTGCTGTTTCCGGAGACTGTCGCTCGGAAGGATAAGAGTGGGAATGATGTCAAGGTGGACGGGCAGGTGTTTTATAATCCAGTTCAACAATTTAACCGAGACTTGAGTGTTTTGGCGATCCGGGCCTTTGGGGAGGTCTTTTTGAGGGAGAAGAAAGGGAAGAGGGCGGGGAAGAAGAAGGGAGGGAGGGGGATTGCGGCTGGTGAGCGGGACAGAGCACAGGAAGCGGCCGCCGAGGCGGAAGGGGAGCGAGGGAGGGAGGAGAGAGATATAGCGCAGGAGAGACCGATGAAAACGAGCATACCGCCCAAGTTCACAATCCTAGATGCCCTCTCGGCGACCGGCCTCCGAGCCCTCCGCTACGCTCTCGAAATCCCCTCCGTCACCCGCACAACCTCAAATGACCTGGACCCTTCTGCCAGCCAATCCATACACCGCAATATCCAGTACAACAAAACCCACACCGCAAAGACCATCGACCCGGCGCTCGCCCCCGATGCCGCAATGTCCAAAATCCACGTCGAAACCGCAAATGCGACCCACCACATGTACTCTGTCCTCTCAGCACCGAAACCGCGGACGGGAGAGGAAGATGCCAACGGCGAGTCGCAGGAGCACCGGTTTGGTAAGTATGATGTTATAGACCTCGATCCCTTCGGCACTGCAGTCCCATTCCTCGACGCAGCGGTTCAGGCGGTAAGCGACGGGGGGCTACTCTGCATCACCTGCACGGACGCCGGGGTGTGGGCTTCGACGGGCTACAGCGAGAAATGCTTTTCGTTGTATGGCGGGATGCCGATTAAGGGGGAGTGGAGCCACGAGGCGGGTCTCCGGCTTATATTGTATGCAACGGCAACTGCGGCGGGAAGGCATGGGTGCTCTATCGAGCCGTTGTTGAGTCTCAGCATAGACTTCTATGCCAGGGTGTTCGTGCGGGTACGCAAGATCCCGCAGGAGGTTAAAAGGCTAGCAAGTACGAGTGTGATTGTATATAATTGTGATTCAGGGTGCGGGTCATGGAGGACACAATCGCTAGGAAAACGCAAGGTGGAGAAGAACAAGAAGGGGAATGAAACGTACCTCAAATTCGGATTAGCGATGGCCCCGACCACAAGTTCAGAGTGTCCCGATTGTGGATTTCCCATGCACGTATGTCCCCCCCCCCTTCCTCTCCCTCAACCTCCCCGACTAAATCCACCACAGCTCGGCGGCCCAATGTGGTCCGGCCCCCTGCACTCCCCAGCCTTTATCACCCACCTCCTCTCAACCCTCCCTACCCAACCACCCGAAATCTACCAAACCCTCCCGCGCATCACTGGCATGCTCCAAACCGCCCTGCAAGAATCCACACTCCCGGACTCCCCGTTCTTCTTTGTGACCGACCGCCTCGCGCGGACCCTCCACTGCGAGGCCCCACCCTTGGCCGCATTCCGCGGTGCCCTGATGCGTCTCGGGTACACTGTTGTGCGGAGCCACTGCAAACCCACCTCCGTCAAGACCGACGCTCCCTGGAGCGTCATCTGGGAAGTTATGCGCCGGTGGGTCCGCCAGAAGCCGGCTGGTGAGGGGAAGGTGGTGGAAACGATGGCTGGTTATAAGATTTTGAAATTCGGAATGAAGGAGAGCGGCGAGAATGGGGAGGGATCCGCGAGGGGGAAGGGGAAGGCGGAGAAGGAGGAGGAGGAGATGAAGAGGCTTACTTCGCTCGAGGTTGTGTTCGATGAGGAGCTCGGTAAAGAGAAAGATAAAGTGAAGGGGGTTGTGAGGTATCAGATGAATCCTACGGCGAATTGGGGGCCCTTGACGAGGGGTCGAGGGGTTGAGGCCCTGCTTAAAGAGAGCGCTGCGGCTGAGGAGGGGCATGAGGGCGAGGCAGTGGAAGGGGAGGAAGGAGAGAGCGACCAAGAAGGAAGCACGAGTAAGAGGGCTAGGTGAGTTTTCTCTTCCTCACTCTCTTACTCAACCAGTGTGGGATGGAGACTGATGGGCGCAGAACAGGGTAATGTGGTAAGGTGGGGCATACATAGAGGATACTAATGGTTTGGCTTTGCTTCAAGTGTAAAAAGGGCGCTGTGTATCATAGTCAAGGGGGCCAGGATGAGGGGGGAAAAACGGATTAGTTTCATGTAATATCACTCGTATAATCAAATTCTCATTGGGACACCGTACTGGTTTTTTTTGACCCCAATTTTGCTTTTATCATTATCTACGGATTTACTAAAGGGATTATCCCCAAGCGATTGGAGATGACTGGGCTGGGTTGGGCGTGCAATCGAATCGCCATCCGGGGGAATACCATTCGGCTGATAAGGAGAGAGAGCGGCAGGTCACTATAATTCGGAGCAGAAAAAGAAAAAAAAAACATTAAACTGATTCTATTATTACAAGTTCCAATCCTATTGTAAATCTAAGATAGATAGAATATATGTAGCCCCCCTCTACAATCCAACCCAAGCAATAGATATTGAACCGCGGCGGGTGAGGAAGAAGAATGCAGGGGCTTCTCCATTGGAGATTGATCAAGCCACAGGTGCCGAAGAGAAAAAAATTTGCAAGCAAACACAGTTCTTAAAAAAATACTCAAGCAGTAAATAAAACAAACAAGGTATGGTAAAGAAAGTTGGAGGGGGTGCAACTTACATCGTTATTGACCTTTTCCATCTGGTTGGAGAAGAGAGGGGGGGGGGACCCAATCGCCAGCGGGAGGGTCCCCACCCCACTGCCACTCTAATCCCATATGGTAGCACCCCCCCTACCTGCACACCCTTCCACTGGGTGTAGTTCCCTATGAGTTTTTCCTGAATAGTCCACTGACTATTCCTCCCCCACACTGCACACCCTTCCACTGGGTGCAGTCCCCTATGAGTTATTCTTGAATAGTCCACTAACTATTCCTCCCCCACACTGCACACCCTTCCACTGGGTGTAGTCCCTTCTAAGCCTTTTTTGAATAGCCCACTGACTATTCCTTCCATATACTGCACACCCTTCCACTGGGTGCAGTCCCCTATGAGTTGTTCTTGAATAGTCCACTGACTATTCCTCCCTCACACTGTACACCCTTCCACTGGGTGCAGTCCCTTGTAAGTCTTCCCAGATAGTCCACTGACTATTCCTCCCCCATACTGCATACCCTTCCACTATGTGCAGCCTAAGTTGATAGTAGGTTAGTAATATATAATTCTCCTCTATCCGTCTAGGAAATACTTTCCTATTGAGTTATAAGATAGATGACATCACCGGTAGTGTCTTCATACCTGACTAACTGTTTAGAGTATACCACTGGCCGGGGACTGAAGAATAGCTACCTACCTCCTCATCCACCCCCCACTTCCTCCTTCCTTGTAGCTGAAACTGACAAATCTCTCAAGGACTAAATGTTCTAGTGTTGATTCAACAATCTATGCTCCTGAAGATATTAGCAAGATATTCAAAGAAGTACAAACAAAACAAAACAGAAAAGAAAAAGAAAAAAACAAAGCAAAGAAAAAGAGAAAGAAAGAAAGAAAGAATAAAAAATGCAGAGAACTGTGTTTGCTCATCATAACATCATGCACGTGGTTGTGGCCAAGAGAGACGGTTGTTGATGGAAAGGTGATGGAAAGGTGATGGAAAGGTGATGGAAAGGTGATGGAAAGGTGATGGAAAGGTGAGGGAAAGGAGAAGAAAAGGTGAGGGGATGCTCCTTTATATATTGTGGGCGCACGGACTTTGTAGTCCCTTTCTATGGGTATTAAATAGGGTAGGGAAACTGAACTAATGGGGGTTGAGGATTCAGGGCTAAAAAAAAGTATGATATCATACGGTACTTTATGGGTCGTGCTCGAGTAAGTGGGGTTACCATCACGACATATCATACCGCATCACTCGGGCTGGAGTGCCATTGCCTAAGATAGTTAACCTAGGGCAGTATGAAGTCACAAAATACAGGGGATTCCGCGATTCCGTATGACGGATATAAACACCGCCACTCCCGCCAGGCCACTGATGGTAGCTCGGCAAGGGTACATAACAGTGGATCATCCATCTCATACCCCTTTTGGTACTTCTAGCATCCGCAAGGGCAAAAGTTGCCAAGCGCAATTACTAGATGGACAGACAAACAGAAAGGCCATGAGCTCGAGTATGATACCGCACCGATCGAAGGAAAAAGAGGGGTGGAGGTATTGAAGACGGGATGTAACTTATGAGTGAGAAAGCCTCGATCTTTAGAGAAGGTTACAGACAGAGATATCAATCAGGGGCCGACGCAGAAACCATATCATACACCTTGGTGGTCTAGCTTCGAGATCGGTGGTAAGTATCGCACGGTCATTCCTTCTTTTTCGGGGATAGAGCAATTATCATACCGAGAGGGAGCTTATCCCCCCCCAGCACGATCTTTGTATAATACCATATCCTCCTTTTGCTAGTCACTGCATTGTATGATATCGTACGGTTCCGAGAGTTGTCGGGAGGTATGGGAATTCGGCTCCCGACAAGTGTATATTGTCGGGTGGGAAGTACCGAGCTAAGGTTAAATAAGAAATAAGTTAGTTGCAGCTTTTGAACGCTCTTACATTCTCTTCCGGCATGGCGCTCTTGGGTCTCCAGGAGGTATGGTGTGATATGTATGATATCGCGTTTCCGGCCCTCGAGGGCATTTCTCGCAACCCGTTTTCCCATGTCTGAGGAGTGTCGCATATACAATACGGGTCCGTTTTTTCCCGACCTATCTAGAGGAAGAATATTCCTGAGCTCTCAGTGCCCGTATGATAGTGCACAAATACATGGGAAGTTGAGCATATATCTCGCAACGCATCCGGGGTTTTGGTAGTGCGCTCGTGGCCATCCCCGAACACATGTGCTACATTTCTCATCAAAATAGGAATCATCATCTGTCACTCGTTTTAGGACCAATGGGATGCCTCCCGAGTGCAGCCTGAGATCTCAGAATATAATTCATAGTTATCTATTGGTAGGATATGTTGTTCACCACTTTGTGGTACAAGTATACTGTATGTGTGTGTGTGTCAACCTAATTTCATTCTGCTACATACCAACTAAATAGTTATCGATGTACGACATGGGATACTGTGTGTGTGTGTTGTGCACCTTAGCTTAATGTGGGGTACAGCACTGTACAGTGCCTGCGGCACATGCGACAGGAACGAACGCACAGCATTATTTGAGAATGCTAAAATCGACAGATACTGTTGCGAAGACTGCGCTCTATAATCCCATTCTTCCCTAGAATGTGCCACGATTCACAGACGTAGTAAGAAATTACTCCGACACCTCCCCGCTCGAGATGTTAACCCCTCCGCATATTCAATCACCAGAATCCTCCTCCCTTTAATCGGTCTCTCAAGCTTCAAGACCCAGCCGTGACATGTTGAGATACTAGAGTGTTCGTAGTGCCGCCCCGAGTGACAATAGGATAAATAGAAGGGGGGGGAGAAGGAAGATAAGGGAGGATCCAGATATAGGCTCGATATGTTAAGATAAGTTTGTAGAAGGTTTCCCGAGTCAGAGGAGAGTCTTTACAAGTGGGGGGGGGGTGAGTGGTGGGGAAAATCAGGATGCCTCGCGAAAGGAGTAGCGCTATTCATCAGGCTCGAGGTAAATGGGGGAAATCTCGGGATGTACCCAACACACTAAGAGATGTGTTCGGTAGTTTCGAGGGTCACAGATTGCCCTTGACAGCACCCTCACCCAGAGGCCCCACTTGAAAAACGCACCAGGAACGGAGGTTTCCCGAGTGTGAGTTATTACAGGCTATTCATACGTCAGAAAGATTTGATACCGAAAGTTTGACTATCCCGCTATCAACTCTAGTGGAAAACACCCGAGTCACTCAGCATAAACTTCCAGACTCCCACTCGCCGCAAGCAAGCAAGCTTTGCCGCAACTTGATCGGAGCCCTGCCCACCCAGATACCCATGATCCCAAAGCGCCCAAGGGGAAGGCTGTTGGCACAGAATATACTTTGCGCTGCCACGCACACGCACACATAACTCCAACAATAGACATTACCCTCGTTTATCTCGACGCCTTGAAGTTCAACATAAATTACCCCTACAAACGGGTTATACATGGGTTCAAGTACTCGGTACTGCTGCTACTAAAGAGTATTGGAGAAGACGAGAGATGCTCTGAACAAACCTGGTGACTGGCTTCGAAGGAGTGCAGTATCAGCCGTAGGTGCAGATCTTCTAGTTTATGACTTGTGTGTACTTCTGAAGGGAATAATTAGGTTAGTTAGGTGTCGGGAGCCCGATTTAGTCCTTGTTCTTGTGACCGATTTCCCCAGAGATCGAGTTGAGCGTAGTAGAGGTTTGAGAGGGGGATCCTTGTGCTTCAGCTGTGAGGGGTGGTCATGACATTCCATGCCACTATGATTCGGACGCTCCCCAACACCATATCAACCTGCCACTCGGTTCATCCGGATCCTCTCCCTGGGTAGGGTAGGTAGGATCGGATACTCGAGTATGTATCCCGTCGATGATAACGGACCCACTGTGAAGACCAGAACCTTGCCGTCTAATTCTGCACCTAGATATCCCGCAACAATACTCGAGTACTCATACTGTACTGTACTGCGCTGCGCCCACCCACCATGCAGTCCAGTCCAGTCCAGTCCAGTCAATGAAATCTGCCCCTAATTTCCTAAATCAGTCAATCTAGATATCTATTCCCAGCGACATCCACGTGCAGTGCTCACAAGGCACTCATATAACGACGCTATCCTGTAGGGAATAAAACCCAAACCCACGATCAGTCTCCTCGAGGGAGAAAACACCGCCTTGTAGTCCACAGCACTCTGCCTTCGTCCAATACCCTCCATCCGATGCCAAGAAAGGGCACCCGGTTCGAAAAGAGTGGGTGGTACACAAGTACCGTAAGTACCCAACACAGCCACGCTCCCCAGGTCCACCACGTTTATTATTGGACAAAGGATGTTACCATCGCGGGGGGTGTACTCAAGACATCGATAGGCATTTCAGCCTCGTAGGGATACAAGTACTGTACAAGTACCACCAACCACATCCCCGGGCATGTTAACCACCAATAGATTTCGAGTGATATAATGCCAAATATAACCACTCAGAGAGAGAGAGAGAGAGATTCACCCTACCTA